TGCTGGCCAGGAGCGACCCGGATGCTGGTGCCGGTGAACTTGGCACTGATCTGGTCAAAACCACGCGCCGAGACCCCTGTATCCGGGCAGTCTATAAAAAAAGCCGAAACCGGAGGGTGGTGAGAAGTCTGTTCAGTTAAATAGCATATCTTGACGGAATCTGCGCTGCTATTCTTTGCGTTGGAGGAAGTATTTGGAGTCGGCGAGACTTCTGGGAGCGTCTGATCTACTTCCCAAGTGCACTAATTCCAGGCGAATCAGAACATGCCATTAACTTAGGCCACGAGGGCTCCGCTTCAAACCTACTCTGAAGAATTCCCCCAAGGTAGAATTGTACGGCTTGCATGGTTTGCCTTTGATGTATTTCTGTGATCTGGTCAATGACCTGCCACTGATTGACAATGCATCTTGAATGAGGGCAGTATACCAAGTCCTTGGTGAACCAGAATCTCAGAACCTCCAGCGTACGTCCCAGCGGATCTTCCGATTGACCAATGCTGTGACAACCATGTCAGAGAACAACAAGCCCTAATGATGAACAGGCTATCTTGCTGACCTTGCGAAGGCCTCCGGTCTGTCTAGGTAATTCCAGTATTCTGATTGAGGAAAGGAGATCTATATTAGCAATCTGCGAAGGGGAGATGACTCTCGTGCGATAGATAGCACAGGAGACAGCTTACCCAGATTTGGTGTGGGTTCTAGAAGATGCGCAGGCAATGAGAAACGAACAGACGCGATGTCGGCTACTCCGACGAACCTGGCAAGACCATCCAGACCTATCAGCACAGACTATCGGAGAGAGGCACCGGGCAGTGAGCAACGGTGTAGCCCATGTCAAGAGTCCCACGTACTTGCGGAGAATGGACAAGAAAGTCTTCAACTTGGAAGAATCATCAGGTGCCTTCTCAGGAGTGTCTTGAACTGTAGTTGAAGACATGATGGCACTCTATACGTCTGGAGATAGTATAGCGAATCTGGGAGGGATAAGAGAGATGGTGTTCTTTGCGTAGCTTGTGGCGAAAAGGGTCGATGGTTGAGTGTCGGAGCGAGATCTGCGGTGTGCACCGGGCAGCCACCCAGACGATCACAGGACTTGAGTGATGGGAAGGAAAATAGGAATAGGCTTGCACAGCGAGTACAGGCACGGGAATAAGCAAGCAGATGAGGACCAGCCAGAGATAGCAACAAAAGCAAGGCAAAAAAAAAAAGGCCGCAAAAGTGCTGGAGATACGATAATAAGAAGAATAATTAATGCGGCGGGCGCGTGCACTGACTTCCAGGCGGTGACGTCCCTCTTGTCTTTCTACGTCACTTGTCACCGACACACGCAATTGGTTGGGAGAGAGGAGAGACCAAGAACGGACTGACTAAGAAAGAAAAGGGGGTAAAATGAAAATAGAAAAGAATGAGTAGTTAACTAGTTAAGATAAAGAAGAAAGCAAGACAAAATAGTCAAATAAGTAGTCACGTAGGCCAGCCTGCAGATAATGACTGTCAGTGGCACTGGCAGTAGTCGAATCTTGCTTGTACTCCTGAATTGTTTGAAGTGGGGATTACCCACTGATTCATGTAGATAAAGGGGACGCGAAGAAGCATGGAGAGAAAAGGGGGGAATGAACAGGGCGAAGGAAAGAAGTAGTAATGGTAGTAGTACTGTCAAATGCCGCTCAGCCAACTTTAACTAATAGTAACTACTCTGTACTTTGTGTTCAGTAGTAGATAGTAAGGGAACATTCTGCTGAAAAGGTGGAAAGGCCGCGGAAGGCAGGGAGAGACTGGAAATTCGGAACCGAATTGGAATAATGATGGAAAAGAAGGAAGCGGAAAGACCGAAAATGGGCTGTCGTCCAATCGGCGCATCACGAGGCTCCTTGTCCGGCCCTCCTTGGGCTTTACTTGTACTAGTAAGTTAGTTAAGTAACAGTACCTATGTACCCTCTAGGTACTAGTGAGTAAGTAGTAGTAGAACATTATGTAGTAAACTTTGTTCTTCCCATTCATTTATTCTGCGCGCACACTACACACATGATATACTTACACTTGGTTCCTACTGCATGCACGAAGCATATATCAAGCGTAAGTACTCCGTCCGTATGGACTTTTCTCCGCTTTCCATGTTTTACCTCATATCATGACACCTCCCACAGCCTCCATAGTTTCAATGACCGAGTAATTAAAGTCACCAGACAGTAACGATCATCTGACACAAAACTACTATCTTATGTCTATTCAATGCTAATGTAGTCATCCGCCGTGGAGTGCTCCTAGGGCACGCTCTACGCGTAGAACAGTCAAACATTATTTTTCTTCCAATCCCCTTTGGTGGAGAAGGACGACAAAGCAAACGAGAACGACAGGATGTTCTGATGGAGTCTTCACAACAAGTCCTCTATCAGCCTTTTGCGTGCTAGAAAGCGTAGCCACTTTCGAATGGCCGGACCATAATCATATCTTCGTCCTTCAGCATAATCCTCATCCATTTGCTGAGACTGTTGCTCTTCTCGGATTGCTGCTCGTAGTTCCTGTTGAGCATGACCCAACCTCTGCCGATGATGAACAAGTTCTTCCACTGAACATGTTTGATATTCTTTCTCTTGTCTTTCATGGACGGTCACTTCGTCGATGATTTTCCTCGTCAACGTATAGCTTTCATCCGGTCCCAGGATGGTATTTTCGTATACCGAATCCGCCAGAGTGTATTCAACACCAGCAGAGCTCTCGGGAATTGAGCTCAAGCGCTCTTGAATAATTTCTAGGTCCCTTACATTGGCAGCTAATTGATCGACAAGCTCAGGGAGCGGGTCTCTAGCAACACTCAGGATAGAAAACTCTATCTGATCTTCTTCATATGCCTCCATTCTGGCGCGGATATCAGGCTTTACCAGGCTCAACCAATCTTCATACGATGCGCAAGAGCCTAAGGACCCGGCCCAGTCAGTGACAGATAACTACCGTAATAGTCTTGATTTGACTTACCAAGCGCCTGAGGTTGACGTTCTAAGCCGTCGAACTTCCAAACTTTACCCAAAGCAGGGACGAAGGCAATGAAATGAAAACCCGCGTCTGCTTTATTATCAGCGGGCTTGTTCTTGGCTGGCCTACTTCGCTTGGATGTAGCCTCAGCTTTGAGCTGGTAGTCTGAGCTAAGCATGTCCATCTTCCTGCTGCCAGATTAATCAAGTGAGTGCCCAGTGGACGAAGCAATTACCTGGCGAATGAATTATGTATTCTTTTGACGAATTCGAAGTTACTTATTGCATCTCCCCTCAGTGCGGGTGTGAACGGCATGGTAAAGTCTTTGAAACTCTGTAGATTCTCCCCAAGGTCGATATTGGTGATGTTGTTGACGATATTTAGAAGCGCCACACTGGCGCAAGCATTGCTGGCTGTCTGGGCTAAAATGTTAGTGGCAAGCTCTAGGGATAGATCTTAAACAGGGAAGACTGACCTGATTAGCAAACCAGAGGCCCTCCGGGCAGCTTGCTTCTTGCTTATCTGGATCATCCTCGCGCCAACGGAACAGGAAAATCAGTCCATATATGGGTTTACTGTGGGTGTATAAGGTCTCGGTGATCAATAAACTAGATCATGGTATGGCACTTACTTCAGAAATGCCATCATCTCCTCGTCAAGCGACACGACTTCTTGGATCTTGATCCCCTTTACTCCGAACTCCCGGAGCATCACATTGAAAAGAGCCTGCAGAGAGATGATCAATCATGGCGCTCAACACCGTGGGAAGCAATGGAAATATCGGTCATAGAGCCATACAGGTTCCGAATCCAGCTCACAGAATCCATTCCAGGAATCCTGCTCGAATTTCGATGCCGGTGAGTAGTAACCGTCCAAACCCTCAATGCCATTGCCTACAGTGGCAGTCGGCTGGGTTCCAACCCGTCGTCGTTTGGCCTGATGGGTCATGATGCTAATAGTAGTAGGTCCCTAGCTAGCTCGGAGGTTGTAGATAGTGGAAGAGGAAAGGTGGGAACCGAGCAAAGCATGGATCCACAGGGCTGGTCACCATACAGAAGGGACAGAGATCACGAGAAATGGACCGTAGTCTTACTGACGATAGGGAGAAGCATGGAAAGAATCTCTCTGAGCCTACTTTAGAGGAACCAGCGTGTCAGGATTTGCCGTGTTACTAGCTACCTGTCTGCCTGATAAAAGGGAGGATGGAGGACTAGTCGCTGTGTAACACATTTACCGGGGGACTACTACGGAGTACACTCCGTAGTCTATTACAACCACGTGTACGGAGGAGGTACTGGGATACCAGGTACTTACGGCTTCCCGCAGCATCTATCTACTTCGTAGATTTGGAGTGTCCAGTCCAGAGGCGAAGAGGTGGCCTTGTATATGATTACAGAGGGAGTCTACTACGGCTCCGGTTGCATCTCAGTAAGGTCTCCCGTGGAGAGTAGTAGGTAGTTTGTATACCAGTTACCTGAATCTACAGTAAGCGACACGCGTTTGCAGACGCGCGCTCTACTAGTACTAGTTTAGTTAGCGAAAGCATCCATGGGCCCGCTTCCACCGTGCAACACGTGATCTTCATACATCATTAACGGGATCCGAGCTGCAAACTAGAGCACTTCCGACAGCTAAAAGCTAAACCCTTGCATTTACTTATTACTCTTGTTTAGGTCCCGGTATTTCACCACTTATTGTTCGGGACTTTTCACATTGTCAAGCACATTTATCAAATTATAAAGGAAATATTATAGGTTTACAACGCGAGTACGTTATTAGTGTGCCAAATCTCGCCGAAGTTCAAATACGCGCAGCCCAACCTACTACTCACTAGCCTGTTTTCTTTTCCCTCGCGCTTTCTTTTTCTTTCGCAACATCGAACGGCTCAACAACCACTCCCCCCTGGTGAGTCCAAGACAACCGCCAGCCTCAGCAACTCTCGTGAGTAATGAATCCAAAGTTCACAAACCATCCTTTCTAGAGCACAAAATGCTCACCCTGTTACGTCTACTATAGGTCTTTGTGACTTTTTTTTGATGACCGCAGCATGCCATGAACGGTACTCCTCGACTTCGGTCTGCTTTCCCGCAGACACCACAACGAACTCCGAAGATCAGAGACTTGAGCTATTCCACATCTAAACCGAAGCCCCGGGATTTGGAGCAGACGAAGAGTCTTTCAAAGATACCCGCACAAGATGCCAATCGACCACTCATACCAGTAGGGGTTATAGATGCCCCGTCGCAGCGACTTTACATTGTGGCTTTCTATGTGGCACTAAATGCTTGGCGAGTATACGAGTCTTGGACGGCATCCGATGATTTGGACTCGACTTGGTTATTCCTTAAATGGGCTGCTGTCGATGGTGTCTTTCTCTTCGGTCTACAGGCGTTGCGCATCCCGTGGCTAGAATGGGCTTTTCCCACTACACTTGCAATCTTCATTATTCACGTTGTCGGCAATGTATTTCTCATGTTTCGAATCCCCGTATGCTTGTCCACGTCGCCGCAGTAAAACAAAGAGCTTGCTAACTTGTAATTAGATCCCGGTTGGGACATGGATCGCTGGCATGGTCAAGTTGGCCTACGATAGAGAGCTGTCCATTTCTGAACGAAGTGTGAAGCCTGGTGATATCATTCACAACGCATCTCTTATTCTAGGAAAGCAGATCGTTCATATACTTCCCGAAGGGTAAGAGCCCCTAGTTTGGCAATTGACCTATCTATTTGTATACGCTAACAGAATCATGCAGTTCAGCTATTCTAAATCCAGATCAAGTACCACTGTGCATCGATGCACAAAAGACTGCCATCGATTTGCCAATTCGAGTCAATCAAACGGATCCTATCCTTATCGAGTTGTTACGTCTAGATTACGACACCGGCGCAAATGAAACGATCGTACTATCGTCCAAGCAGTTGAAACAGATGAAAAAGCATGCAGACAAAAGGCACCAAAGCTCAAGTTCAGACCTTCATCGAGACCTTCTCTATTCAGCTCGGCGACCGGGCATTTATCGCCTGCAGAGGGTAGTAGATGAGTCTAACCTTGATGTACACATGCGCTCGTCTGATGCTCTTGTTGTCACTTGTCCCCGGGCGCTGGTTAAGAACTCGCACACTCATAAATGTCGAGGAGAACTGTCAAACCTGATACTAGCGGTCGAGGGCACGCCGCCATTGAAGATTAAGTACAGCAGACAAGTGAATTATCTTGACCGAGGATTTTCGTTTCAAAACATACATCCCGATAATTTGCGCTCGCCATTGTTGGGTCAGAGAAATTCCGGCCTCCTTTTCAATTTCAGAGAACCCGAAGTCGCCTGGGCTCAAAGCCAAATCATCGAAGTTCCGTTGAATGAGTCACTGAATGTGGGCGGGGAGTGGCTCTACAGCATTGAAGAGGTACATGATGGTGCAGGGAACATCGCAAATTATTCGGCACTTTTGGATGTATTTGATCGCTCCTCGACCAAGTCTCTATCACAGTGGCATCAATTTTCAGTCCACGAGAGGCCACGCTTGTCTTTGACTGGCTGCAATGACCAGAACTTCCTAGAGGTTGCACGTGGCGACAGCGTTGACCTTCCCTTGAAATACCACCCTTCTGGTCAAGGCTACGCCAATGATGGGCCCTTTTCTCTGGTGTACTCGTTCAGCGGTAGCGATCAAGAAAGTCCAAGTGAACAGCCTAACAAAGTTCGTCAACTCACACTCAAGAGTCTCGACCAGAAGCCTCAGATCAAGGATCCGGGTTGGTACAGCCTGAACTCAGTTTCGAGCCAATACTGTTCTGGAGAAACGCTGGAACCCTCATCTTGTTACCTGCGCAATCCTCCCGAGCCTGAACTGGCTATTAGGTACGAGAAGATCTTTGACAAATGCGCCAACAACCCTGTCGGTCTACTCGTTGATCTGGACCTCACTGGATCGCCACCTTTCCGAATTCGATATGTTGTTGAACACTCGAAAGGCGTGGAGACAAAGTCCCAGACAATTGACGGGCTGCGTGCTCAGCTAGATTTCACCCCTTCAGAAGCAGGCGCCTATCGTTATCGCTTCTTGGACATTTCGGACACTGTTTACGCTCCGCAATCTCTCAGGGACAAAGTACCAGTCCTAGAGCAAGATGTGAAACCTCCAGCTTCTGCTCATTTCCTCGGGAACAAGGAGGTGCGCAAGGCTTGCTTTGGGGAGCCAGTGTCCGTAGACGTAGCCTTCCTAGGTGAAGCGCCATGGACGCTGCAATACGAGCTCGTCCACAACGGCAAGAAGACGAAGTATTCTTTGGTTTCCGACAGCGAAATGGCCACAATCGTGACAGAAAAGCTCGTCAGCGGTGGCGAGTATGCCATTGTGCTCACGGGCGTCAAGGATCGTTCGAATTGCAAACGGACTCTCAGGGACACTATCAAGATTGACGCTCGCTCGAAGCCACCGCACGCGTCCTTCGGCCAGATTGAAAAAAGTAGAAAGTACTTGGCTTTGCAGGACTCCAAGCTTGACATTCCGGTCAGACTAAGTGGGGAGAGGCCGTGGAACGTCAGATATCGCAACTTGAATACCAATTCTGCCGTTCTTGAGAAGACATTCTGGCAAGAGAATAGCGTGCTCACCGTTGCTCAAGAAGGGCAGTACGAACTTGTGGACGTTGCTGATAGCTCTTGCCCTGGCTCTATTGACCAGTCAGCCAACGTCTTTGAGGTGTCCTGGATACCTCGCCCTCACATCACGACAGTGGATGGCTCTCCCGTTGGCGACGATGGCCACGTAACGAAACGCGACGTTTGTCAAGGCGAAGATGATAGTCTTGAGCTTCGGCTGTCGGGTAACCCCCCCTACGACATACAGTACGAGCAGCAGCGCAAGACATCTCGTGGTTCACCGTCAGTCAGGCTACAGAGTCTGAAGACAGCTTTGAATGCTGCCTCCATGGAAATGGACACGTCAGAACCTGGTTCCTATACATACAAATTCACAGAAGTCGGCGACCATCTCTACGACCATGATCCTCGTAGCCGGCCGGTTGTCGTGACGCAAAGGGTAAACCCCCTCCCCTCTGCACGTTTTGACTCGCCTGGTCGTATCTACGGTTTCTGCAAAGAAGACATCAGTGGCGAGGAACTGATACCCATTACTTTGGAGGGCGTACCGCCATTTTCCCTCGAAATCTCCATCAAGCACCACTCGAAAGCCAAACCAGAAATTGTGTCAATCCCAAACATCAAATCCAACAGGCATAACTTGCCTATCCCACGACGCCATCTTGAATTGGGCCAACATGTCGTCAGTATCCGCAAGGTGAGAGATGCACGTGGATGCCAGCAAGAAACCGAATTTGACTCTTCTTCGGTGAGGGTGGCGGTTTCGGACGTGCCCACAATCATCCCTCTGGAATCAAAGACCGATTACTGTGTCGGCGAACGCCTTTCTTTCTCATTGTCAGGTCACGCTCCATTTGACGTGTTCTATACATTCGACGGTGCATCTAAAAAAGCTACTTCCAAGACCACGAATTTCCGTCGAATTGCCGAGCGGCCAGGAGTCTTCACCATTACCGCTGTAGGTGACGGCGCGAGTGGAAAGTGCAAGGCACACAAGAACATAACAAAGACGATTCATGAGATGCCGAGTGTCAGAATCAGCAAAGGTCAAGTCTCCGTTGTTGATATACACGAAGGAGGAGAGGCCGAACTTCAATTTGAGTTCTGGGGCACACCTCCATTCGAGTTTACGTATGTCGCTCATTATCATGCCTCCTGTATATCATTGTGGTTTAACTAATAACTTGTTAGGTATATCCGGAGCTCGAATACTCGAAGAGGCAGAAAGCCCGAGATACTCGATATCAAGCACGATATCTCTTACGAGCACACGAAAAGCATCAAAACATCCGATGAAGGCACCTATGAAGTTGTCGCAATCAAAGACAAATACTGTTCCTTTTCTTCTCAAGAATCGATTGAGAAGACTGAGAAACCAGTGGCACGCCCCTGAGATAGAAGGTAGAAGGAACTAATAGGATGTGTACGAGTGTGATTCCAGCATTTTGTTTTCTTTCTCATGAACTTTTGGTTTTTCCATTCGCAATCGCATCGCAACGGCGCTAGGTATTGAAATGTACAGGTTAAATCAATTGGAAAGGTCTATCTATAGCTATTCATAAATTACTTCTCGGAAGCCACCTCTGTATGCACTTCTATACTATCCACCAAATCAGCACCTAGTCTGGCGATCTCGCTTAGGACGGCTTGGCAGTTCATAGACACTTCTTCGTTGGTTCTCGGTTCTGAAGGGCACGTTGAATATGCCAACTTCAGCGTCCATTTCTTCGGTTTGAGGATCTGTGGGTTCCAGAGACCGCCAATAACGCTGCAGCTTTCGTCGCCGTGGAAGAGAAGCATGTTTGGATGGTAACAAGCCTGCAGGTCACGAGCGAAGGACGACACTATTGCAGGTTTAGCAGTTCCTGCAGTTCTCCGCGCATCTAAGTTCTTGAATCTCGTAGGCAGTGCCAATCGTTCCTGTAGCAGGCCCGGGCGAATGTTGATAACGAAATCGTAGGGTGCTAGGGACGTATGGAACAAGTCTGACACAGTAAGGCCATAGCCCTGCTCCCGCAGCAATTTCATGGCCGCTTTAGCCAAAGTACACATTCGAGCAGCCACGACCTTTGGGGGCATTTCATGCTGTGTCCAAGTTACGCCATCAGTGTCAATATCGGAAGCAACAAATAAGGCGACGGTATTCATGGCCGGGTCGACGCTTCGCCAGGCAGAAAAGCGAGTCTGGATCGCTTCCATTGACTCCTTGTTTAGTTCACCGAAATCGACCATCAATGGCTCTTGTTGCCAATCCCATCTGGCAAGGACATGAAGCGTCCTCAAAAAGCCGGCCATGACACTCGAGGGGCTGTCCCAAGGATAAGACTGGGTAAAGACCCGGACAACGAGTAATTCAATCAACTCTTGATTGACATGACCTGCGAGCAGGTGGCAATTGAACCAATATTTAACGAGGCGAATTGTTGGCGACAACAGTGGGAAGCGTGTACATAAAGTGCGGATTGCCTGCGTTAGACGAGGTGTTTGGATAAAGAGTCGCTTATATGCAGCTAAGGCATAAGCCACTTGTTGTTTCGCCAGCGGGCTAGCACCTTTCTCCTTCAGTTGACGTTCTAGCAACAGCTGCTCACGCTCATGGTGAATCCTAAGGCGGAAAACTATTCCTGATGTATGGGTGATGTCCAAGAATGAATTATTCATCAACCCCGTTGACTCATTTTCCAACCCAACTCTACAGGCGGAAGCAACCCCACCCGACTTCAAGGAGTCTCCTATCTTAATGAGAAAGGCGACCTTGGTCATCTGGATAGCCTTCAAATCATCTGGCCACCGGGCCGAGCTCTCAAACTGAAGAACAATGTCCGCAGGGTTGGATGCAACCCCAGCAGTACCATGGAGCCGGAGGGCAGTGTAGCGCAGACTAGGGCTAGCTGGTGCTAGATGCCTAACAGTTAGGGGAACACCATCCATGTCTTGAATTGATCTTTGCACTGAAGTGAAGGCATCGGTGATTGCCTGAAAAGCGGGACTCGAGTAAGAGAAGACATCGTCGCCGCCTTCGCGAAGCTTGTCGTCATATTCATCGCCAATGAATACCACGTCGTCTTTGGTGTAATTAAAATGCCGGCTCAAGATGTACGTCAGGATCTGATACACTATAGATGGTGATGACTTCTCATCAGTCCATACCAAGCTCTCTCGAATAGTACCATCCTTGAAACGTCTGAGTTCGGCCTTCTCTCCCCAAAATGACCTAAAAGCAGCTGCCTCTTCTTTCTGTTCTGCAGACGGGCCATGATCGACTACACGCTCAGCGTTGTCGGTGCTAAGGACGAGACCCACGGAGACACTTTGGCTTGCCGGCTTGCGATGCGGTTTTTCGTCTACCGGCCAGGGCTTGAGAACATCCCCGTAAATATGTACGAGATCCGCTCTGTCCCCAAGCGCTCTAACAATCACGTCATATACAGCAGTCTGGCTGCGAAGGCTCCGGAGAATGTTTGCACTGTCCTGCGCTGGAAGCTTCAAGATGCGATCAAATCTCAAAAGAGGTTCATTCACCTTGATGATAAAGACTTTGTCAAAGTTGTCGTCGCGAGATTCATTCAACATGCGCACAGTAGTGTTTGCTTCACGGCGAAGAAAGGCATAGGACCAAGGGGCCATTTTATAAAGGACATTCAACCCGCGTTTGCCATCATATAGGACTGGGGTGCCATCAGGAAAAGATATGTCCGTAGCGGAGAATAGCAACGGAATGGCCAGGTCCCTTCCTGCAATGAATTGAAGGGTCGCCTTGAATAGCTGGTAGCTACTATATGATTTTAGTAGAACGGGCTTGCCGTTGGGACCTCCTCCTTCGAAGAGGAGAGCCATAAGCACTGTCCATTCGAAACCACCGAATCCGCCCTTGAACGGAGATGAGCCCAGTCCCCGCTGTCGGAGCCATGTCCGGCCTAAAATGCAGGCATCCTTGAAGGATTCGCAATTCCGAGCAGCGTTGTAAAGAAACTTGTGATACTGTGCCACTGTGGCTTCTGAACGAAGAGCGGCATTGTAGAATGGGGTGGATTCCTGAGACACAGGCACATCCGCTGAGCCCTGGCGGATATTGTTTCTCGACGGCAGAGTCCGAGAGATTGGGAACAAGGAGTCTTCGATGGCCGTAATTATACGAATCTGAGTCTTTGCAGGCAGGGACTCCTTTCTTTCGGTGCCATTATTGGGCTCCAGTAGAAGAACAGGACGAAGGCTGTCACCATCTTGAAGCCCAAACTTGACGGTGAGATTCAGTCCCTCCGCTTCCCTAATCCCGGCAGCAAGGCTCGCGATGTAATATGCCCGCTTGTGGAAATAGCGGTAGTTCACGTAATCCTTTTCCTGAAACAAAGCACTGGGCATCGTGACTGCCAAGTCCACCGTCAACGGTACATCGCTTTTGGCACCTGTTTTCAAAGAGAGACTTCCGACCACATTGATATTTGTTGGTTTCGAGTAGGATACGGTGTACTTTGTATCCTTGGCCGGTCGAGGTTCAGGGAACGGAACGGTAATTCCATGCGTGCCACGCAGCTCCTTCTCCGCTTCAAAGGTTGATTTTGGTGGCCTATCTGGAAGACATTCGATAACGCTTTTCAACTTGTGAAGTGTCTCCTGGAGTCGCGAGACTTGTTTGTCATAGTTCGGTCTCGACCCATTCAGTAGTTCGTCCAGTTGTAGCTTGAAAAAGGTGGATTTATAGAAACCGCTGGCGAGCGCAAGTTCAGCGGAGCGGTCGTTCTTTGCTCGCCCACTGCTGCGCAGAGTAGAAACGTCTCGAGAGGGTTTAGCGGCATCGCTATCAGTCAGGTTATTTCGATTCGATACCGAGTATGCACTATTATTTTGTGTACGCGAGGAATCGTCCGGTGAAGGGCTCAGTCTCCTTCTTTTTGCTGTATGGGCCGACATATTGGAAAGGGTTCAAGAAACAAAAAATGCTCTGAGCGGTAATTGAGGAAGTTGTTGGAAATGCGACCCGAGCAGGATAAAATTGGCAGTTGTGCAAAGATTACCCTCCCCTGTGATAGAATAGCTGTCTCGAATAGACTGCAATGTCTGCGTCGTTTTGTTTACTACCTCCAGTCCTTCCCTCTTTTTTTTTTTCCCTTTGCTGTAATTTTTAGCCTCTTGATTTTTGACTTGACGGGAAAGCAACGTCCGATCTCCGATACCCACTCTCACGTGGAGATAGCTAGCTGAGTAAGCAGCCAGATGAACGGATCTGTAACCACAGTTAGCTATGTAGTAGTTACTCCGTACTCCGTAACTGACTAGTGTAAGTGACCAGTGTTACACCAAGAGGCCGTGTCTTGCATCGTTGGGACCCCAGGTGCAATTGGATTCGTCCCAAGCTACTACTATTAGTACTACTTAGTTCTACATCAAAGGCCTTTCTTTTTTTTTTCCTTTAATTCCATGAATTATATAACATAATCTCTATTCTCTTGGGTAATCTTGTATTCAGGTCTTGTCATATCTATCTATGTACCTGAATATCAGGGTTAGGTACATAAATTTGATACGACGCCTGGATAATTTGCCATAATGCTGTGGCTTGAGGTTATCTACACGTGGAACACATTAGCTATCTACTTTGTCATACTTGCATAGTCTCCGTCTATTGTAGATGGATTATATGGGAAGTACTTCGGAGATAGGTACCCCGCATACAGTGTAAGGTAGCCCTTCCGTATTACCATGTAGCAAGTGCAACAGCCTAACAGTATCAGTCAACCCTCCCTCGCCATCACAATCTATGGAATGAGGAACAGAAGTAGAAATAGATTTTTTGGGCTTATAGTACTTATTAGTTAGGGACTAAGCATGATGGCTACAATGATACTTTATCTAATGAGTTCTAAATTGTCCTGGGATGTACTGGTATTGATCATTGGCTAGACTTACTTCTCTGAGGGCAGCGCCGAAATCGCAGTTGACTCATTAGAATTAGTACGACCTACTAGTTAGTAGTTACTTATTGTCCTGACAAGTTTTCTTACCATCCGCCACCTCGCTAACATTCTTTACACTACGTACCTTCTTTTGTCCGCCTCTGTTCTTACTGTCTTCGAAATAGTGCCGTTTCCTTTGTGCTACAATGATCCAAGACATCGGAGGCCCGGTCCCTCCTCACACTGATCACGTATGCTCTAACCCCGCGCAACCCCGCCCAGCTTCTATTCACCACCCTTTTAGTTTTTGTCTCGGTCGCCGTTGCGGCTCGGACGAGATGCGCAAGGGCTTAGAAGCTATTCTAAATCACATTTGGGCTTTACTCACATCTTCATAGGCAGTCAGTGTATCCCTTCCAACATGGAAAGCGAATGTTGCATACGAGGAAGGAGAGTCATGGGTTGTGAATAAGATGCAATGCGGTTATCCTCGGTTCTTTATACACCCCATCATACAGGATCTGGCGAGGGAGATCGTACGTCGCTATGGAAGCCCAGAATTGGAAACGGCTATACTATTCCCTTCCCTCAAAACATCAGGGGTCTGCTATTCATTTCTCAAATCGAAAATACAAGCCGAGGATCCCTGCAATGTCCGGACAATGGATTTTGCCCTTCCCATTCAGGGCGAAGACGCGCCGTCTGGTACGGACTTGATACTATCGTGTGTGATATATCCCATCCAATACGCGCCAATCGCCAAGCAGGTCTGGCAACATACAGGAAATGGAATCTCAAGTAGACGTGCTGAGTTCTGCCTAAACGCTTTAAGGGATGGGTTTCTCGTGGAAAGGAAACCTGTAGCTCAAACTATTGCATCGCCACGGTTTTTCAAGGGGCCCAGGAGGTATCAGGGTCGAGAGTCCATAAGTGGAAAGTCTCAGGGAAGTGGGACGCACGCACGCGACAGTACTACAGGTACAATTACGACAACCAGCAGCATGCAAGATGGCCGCGAACATGTCCAGTTCATTGAAGAACGATTCGGTCGGAATCTAAGCACCTCGCTGGCCGGTCAGGCAAGGCTGGCTGTACGGCGACGCATTGCGGGCGTTTTGACAGCCGATGTGGAGCTTGACGAGGCCCTTGAAGAAGAGTCAGGAGAAGGACGTGTCGCGGGGCTGACAGAGTCCGATGTTTTTCTCTTTCCGACCGGCATGAGTTCCATCTTCAACGCTCATCAGATGTTGATGGTTGCGAAGGGAGAGATGAAGAGCATCTGCTTTGGATTTCCCTACACCGACACCCTAAAGATACTTCAAAAATGGGGCCCGGGCTGTTTGTTCTATGGTCATGGCTCTTCGGAGGATCTTGATGACCTGGAGTCAAGGCTACTGAAAGGAGAGAGATTCCTCGCTCTATTCACTGAGTTTCCGGGCAATCCGTTACTGAAAGCCCCTGATTTGAAGAGGATCCGATCACTCGCCGACAGGTATAATTTCGCTGTTGTAGTAGATGAGACGGTTGGGAATTTCCTCAACATCAATGTGCTTTCCTATGCAGATATTGTGGTAAGCAGCTTGACCAAGATCTTCAGTGGTGACAGTAATGTTATGGGAGGGAGTGCAGTACTTAACCCCAATGGGCATCATTACGGTTCTCTAAGAAATATATTTGCACGCGAATATGAGGACAATCTTTGGGCAGAAGATGCCGTGTTCCTCGAAAGGAATAGCCGCGATTTCATATCCAGAATTGATAAGATCAATAAGACTACGGAAGACATCACAGCGATGTTGGAGGACTCTCCACTCGGTAAGCTAACGATCAAATCTCTTCGATGTTGGACTATTGGGTGTCATTGCTCGATGTACCTGCCCAATGCGTTCAATACTAACTGACTTGCAGTGAAAAAGGTTTACTATCCGAAGTACAACTCTTCAAGACCCTTGTATGAAGCATTTCGCAACAAAAATGGAGGATATGGCGGTCTATTTTCGGTTACATTTCATTCAACGGCAGCGGCAGTTGCTTTCTTTGATCAACTCGAAGTACTCAAAGGACCTAGTCTCGGTACTAATTTTACCCTGAGGTAGGTCATTATCATGGCAGGAAAATGGGCGACAAGCCTGTTAACATTGATGCTTAGTTGCCCTTACACTCTGTTGGCGCACTATAGTGAACTAGAATGGGTAAGTCAACCTCTCCGATCTCCGACACGGCATGAACTTTGCTTTTAGTTGGGTATATACTCATGCTTTTCATCATTTAGGCAAGCTCATTTGGTGTCGACTTTGACCTAGTAAGGATAAGTGTCGGCTTAGAAGATGTTTCGGATCTTCGCCAGCGATTTCAGCAGGCCTTGAATGCTGTCGCTGAAGTAAACACATAATGCAGGCTTCCTGGAAAGAGCGTTTATAGACTTACGAAAGCATGCATCATATGACCTACATAACATGCGACTTTCGAAACCATAGCTCTTTGGGTGACTACATATCTAGTGGACTGCCTGGTAGCTTGGTGAAAGAAAGTACTGAACTTCCAAGGGCCTATCATAGCCAATTAGCCATGGCTTGAGGTTCCAGAAATTAGCCCAGTACCGCGATGAATATTTGCTCTATTAACTTTTCACTCGTGTTCCACTTATCTATGAAGCCAATAACGACTTTCCGAGTGTTGTATCTGTGGACCCTTAGACTAGAGACCCTTTGACAACCAAATACAAATATTAAGGGCCCAAGTAGCTGGGCAAACTTGCCGGTAAACCATAGGTGATTGATCTTCTTAGTTGCCTTCATGATAAGAAGCAGCTATAAGCTAAACCAGCTGGTGCACCCAGTGCTCCGAATTGCTTTAGATGGTATTTTAAAGAACAGCGATACTTATAACGATAATCAGGACAAAGACTCTAATAACAATAACGGCTGAAAAGCGAAGACTAAACGGTGTAAATAAAGTCTGTACCCACGTTTCTCTACATGATCAGTTAGGCTAGTGCGGAGCCAGAGTCACGAGACTAGCAGTTCGGAAAAAGTCGACTTCCCCAATTTCGTCCGGTACCTCCCCTACAAACCTCTACTTGGCTATGTCTAATTAATCTTAGGCTTTTGGCATATTCTCGTATGTGTTCCACTTTAACACTTCCTATGTGCTGTATATTTATGTTAAATCAATGATTCACTAATTGCTCACTTCTGCTTCCTTGCACTAGGTACCATCTGACGGCCACCTCTTCCTCCAGCTGTAGCTGCTTACTTGCTGTCATCTCAGAACCGAAAAGACTGAGATTGGTCGCGATGGCGAATTGCCTTGCAGCTCCTAGGCGGCCTCTTCTGGCACTGCCATTCCTTCTGCCCTCTCCTTACGAGTGCGTCACCCTAGGTTTGCGACGCAATCAGTCTTCATACAGGCGCACAAAGCAGCGTCTACGTGTCAAGCCAGATGCCTCATTTGGCTCTTCTGTGAGCCATTCTCAAGAGGATCATATCATCTACAACCCACCGTCAAGTGCGCCGTCAGTTTACCACACGCCCACTAAATTCCTGCCCTCTGATGATATCCGGAGAAATTTGCGCAACGCGTCTGTCAAGGGTAGCAACGCCGAATCCCTTCCCCTCGCAGCCAAAGTGACCACCGAGAAAAAATACCATCTAAACCCATCAGATATAAGAGAGATTCGCAGGCTCAGGGCCACTGATCCGATGACATGGAGTCGGTTGAAGTTGGCCAAGCGCTTCGACTGTTCCCCAATGTTTATTGCAATGGTCTGTGAGGCTAGTCCAGAGAAGAAGGACATCCAAAAGCGAATCCTGGAAGCTGTGCAATCAAGATGGGGATCGAAACGTCGGATGGCCAGAGAAGACCGACAGCTGCGGAAGGAGACATGGGGAAGGGATCAGTAAAGCCACAATCAGCTATTGTTTTCCCCCTCCCCCACTTGTCTTTACCTCAATAATATTTTCTGTCACGCACCGCCTTACTTTCGATTGGGTGTACCAAAGAGACTTGTTCGCTTGCGAACATGCATCGAGGAAGCTCAACATTTGTATAAAATCATGTATTCTAGCGTTGTCACTCTTGGGAAATGAAATGTATTTTAGAAGATTGGCTGTGTTATTGGCTTTGTTTCTTTTCTTTACCTTTCAGTAGCGCCCACATTCTCCTGGTTCTTATCGAGGTTAGATGCTCATTAATGGCTATGGGCGCTTATTTGCGCTCCGGAACGGGAACCTTCCTAGTACCCAGCCGAGGTGGGCAGGGCGGACAACCAACCGAATGATAGCGAGGATACTGTTAGGTAAACCTGTGTCAACCCAACAAGCAAATCAGGTTACTTCCATTATCTTCCACAGCACAAATGCCCCTCCCCCTCCGTCGCATTGCAACATCGCTTAGCTGGAGGGAGTGCAGATTATATCTGTCATCATCACCTGCGCACTTCAAGGAAATCCGGGCGCCACGAATATCTTCCATTCAGCATCAAATACGCTATCTATCTTCACGCCGCTCATTTTACGGAAATATCAGTGATCCGAAAATGGCACCGCAACTTGAACCTTTCTTCAAGCAGTAAGCCACAGCTTCATTTTACTCGTCCTCTATGTTGTCATTGCTGGTTTTGCTTCTACTTTGGCCGTTTCCTTCCTTGGTATATGCTTCTACTATGGTCCGCTGGCTGACATGATTTGGGTGACCATCTGCACAGGGTCGACGATTTGTCGGGCTCTTTCATTGACCGTACGTCACGCTCTCCCAAACTCCTGCTGTTGAGGATACATCCTCAAATAACTCAAAAGGTCTACGAAAGGCTGTCGCCATCCCATCTATTTCCGCACAGGATGAGAATAGAAAGGATGTCTTCAAGGTGTGTACTGCAACCCGACTCAGCCCTCATCACTACTAAACTAATCCCTCATTTTTTCCCCCATCAGATGGCCCAGTTTCTTGCTTCCGAGCTTGAGAATTTGGGTGCCGAAGTGGAACAGAGACCGTTAGGTAAACAACCTGGAAAAGAGCACCTGGATCTTCCCCCGGTTGTGCTTGCTCGTTATGGTAATGACAAGAGCAAGCGAACCATCCTGGTCTATGGGCACTATGACGTGCAGCCGGCTTTAAAAGAAGATGGCTGGGCGACAGAGCCTTTCGAGTTGACCGTCGATGATCAGGGAAGAATGTACGGGCGCGGAAGCACGGACGATAAAGGTCCCGTCCTCGGCTGGCTGAATGTTATCGAAGCTCATAAAAGGGCTGGTGTTGACTTCCCGGTCAATCTGCTCTGTTGCTTTGAGGGGATGGAGGAGTATGGCTCAGAAGGTTTGGAAGAGTTCATTCAAACCGAGGGCAAGGAATTTTTCAAAGATGCAGATGCCGTTTGCATCTCGGACAACTATTGGCTTGGGACCGAAAAGCCTTGCTTGACCTACGGGCTCCGAGGCTGCAACTACTACTCCGTGAGCATCTCGGGACCTGGTCAGGACTTGCATAGCGGGGTCTTTGGTGGCACAGCACACGAGCCGATGACTGATCTGGTTCATGTGCTATCTAAACTTGTCGATTCGCAGGGAAATATCCTGATCCCTGGAATCATGGATCTTGTTGAGCCCCTTACGGAGGAAGAAAAATCCCTATACCCTGGCATCAACTACACTATGGATAATCTTCACGAGTCACTGGGCAGCGAGACAAGCATTCATTCCACCAAAGAGAGAACTCTCATGGCAAGATGGAGGTACCCGTCTCTTTCTCTCCATGGCATTGAGGGCGCATACTCTGCTCCTGGCGCGAAGACAGTAATTCCAGCTAAGGTCATCGGCAAGTTCTCAATCCGAACTGTGCCGAATATGGAAAGTGAGGACGTGAACAAACTCGTCTTCGACTATGTCAAGGCAGAGTTCGCCAAATTGAATAGCAAGAACACATTGAACGTGTGGCTCCAGCATGATGGAAAGTGGTGGGTTGCCAGTCCGAAGCATTGGAACTTCTCGGCTGCAAGCAAAGCTGTGAAACAGGTTTTCGGTGTTGAGCCGGATATGACCCGTGAGGGTGGCAGGTATGTCTTCTGATTCATACTCGCCATCTGTTACACTGCTTCAGATACTTTGAGACTGATATCCATATAGTATCCCTGTCACACTAAGCTTCGAGCAAGCTACAGGCAAGAATGTCCTCCTCCTACCTATGGGAAGCTCGACTGATGCTGCTCATTCGATCAACGAGAAGCTCGATAAGAGGAATTATATCGAAGGAATCAAGTTGCTGGGAGCGTATTTGCATTACGTTGCGGAGGAGCCTATGGACATCTGACCGTATGACACTTTGGAGACCTTCGCAGTCGCTTAAGTCTACGTCACCCCTCTCACTCACAGTGTGAGAATATCCGGTGAATGACTTGTCCTCTTCCAGTGGGACCTCGAAGGTACCTGGGGCCTCATGGCATACATTGAAGCTTGCAGCTCTCTGCATAGTACCTAGGGATGCTTCGTCCCAGTATAAGTCATATCATTCGGATGAGGGACCCTGTAGCATCGCAAATTCCAAGATATTCGCATAATCACTAGAGGCAATGATCACCAGTCGTTCTTTTGCATCAAAGCAATGGCAAGGTATACAGCGTACGTAGGCAAGATGGTAATTTATGCCCTAAAAGGGCTGCATAAAATACCTTGGAAGTTAGCAAGCAGCGAGCTCCGTAAGACAACATCAACCGCAGGGTGTGGATATTTGCGGTGTTGTTCCTTTCAGTCTTCTCCCGAAGGAGCCTTAATTGGATTCCTTTCATGTCACGTGTAATGACGACGCGCGACGACGCGACTTATCAATATCCGATAAGCTTCCAAACACGAAACAAAGATGGGTACAGTTCTTTCGGCTTCAGCGGCCAAGCCACCAAGTAGTGAATGAAAGGAGCAATCTGGTTCTTTGTCGACCGTTTCATTTAATCTTGAACATTCTCTCGTCTCCCCTTTCTATTCAAATCATATGCTATGGCCAGTTGCAATCCCGATATTTCAGCCGCCTTTCCTCGATGCCGTCAATGAAACGCTCTCAAACGTCCCTAGAGCCTTCGGACTCGGGCGATGAAAATACTAGCGGCTACTCGACTTCGGTATGTGGCAGTCTTAACGTATAAGTAAGGCCGCTAACCTGGACGAACTAGCCAAAACGCCTCCGTAGGACTAACAGTCCTCTTTCAAAGGGGAGCGCTGTGGACAGAAATGATGGTGATGAAGGATCAAGAGTCCGATCCCTTACGCAGGCTCTTGATGATGACGATGAGGATGAACTTGAGTTACGGGCTACCCAGGTCATTCAAGAAAGATACTCGTTCGCTACTGATGAACCAAATATACCTGCCGAGCATGGCATATTGGAGCGTGTTGAGTGTTACAATTTCATGTGCCATGACCATTTTTATGTTGATCTAGGCCCTCTAATCAACTTTATCGTGGGCAAAAATGGTAGCGGCAAGAGTGCAGTCCTCACGGCCATTACTCTTTGCTTAGGTGGTAAGGCATCTACTACCAATCGAGGCCAGAGTCTAAAAAGCTTCATCAAGGAAGGCAAAGAGTAAGTGATACCCGAACCCTCTTCTGAATAGTTCTAATGTCTAGTTCTAATGTGGCAATGAAGGCATGCAATCATTGTTGTGCGAATTAAGAACCAAGGAGATGGCGCTTATATGCCAGATGATTATGGCAAGTTTATCACTATAGAACGCCACTTCTCCAGAAATGGCACAAGTGGGTTCAAGATAAGATCAGAAAATGGCCGTATCATGTCCACCAAGAAGTCAGAGCTCGATGCCATCATTGACTATTTCACCCTGCAATTCGACAACCCAATGAATGTTCTCTCCCAGGATATGGCCCGCCAATTCATCGGCTCATCAAGTCCTAGTGAGAAATACAAGTTTTTTGTGAAGGGCGTCCAACTCGAGCAGCTCGATCAAGATTATCGATTAATTGAGGAATCTGGTGACCAAATCGAGGAGAAACTGAGGGGCCGGGAACAGGATATAGCGATATTGCAAAGTAGGAAGGAAACTGCGAAACGAAAGCTTGATATTTCCAACCAACACGATTCCCTGCGGAACCGGATCAGGAATGTTCGGAATCAAATGGCCTGGGCTCAGGTGGAGGAACAAGAAAGGGTATCCTTATATCTTCCCAAATCATCCATTACGTTTCTGACAGCCAACAGATAAGGGACTCTTTAGACGAAGAACTTCTCGCGGCAGACAACCAGATCGCAGCTGACGAAGCTGATTTGACCAATTTTGATGTTACTATTAACGCGGCTGCAGCTGAGCTTGAGGCCGCCGCGGGATCTGTTCGCCAAGCTAATGCGAAGCGAGGCCAGCTCCAAGATGAGAAAGACGAAATCCAAGCGAGATGGGATGCGCAAATGACTGAGCGTCATGGACTGCAGGTATGATCCGTAAACACCTTGCAATCACATGAAGAGCTTTTTAATGTTATCTCTAGGCCGAACAACGCCGGATCAGAGAATATCTGAAGGCAGCAGAAGAAAGAATAGCTACTACTCAACGGAGTATTGACGAAGAGAACCGGCGTTTAGCTGAGATTAGCGGCGGTAGCTTTACTCGAAAGCAGGAGGAACTTGAGCGAGCAAAAGAAGAGGCCTCCCAAGCCCGTGCTCGGTATGAGGAACATAGTAGCGACCGTGACCGTCTATTCCATGACATAAACGAGGCTGAAGAAAAAGTTCGGGAGGCCGAAGGGCCAGTCGATAAAATCAGGGCCGATATTAAGGAGGCTGAATCGCTTTTGTCAACCCTGAAAAGGGAAGGGGGTCCACAGAATTCTGGGTTTCACGAGAGAATGCCATTCCTTTTGAGAGCCATTGAACAAGAACGTTCCTTTACTAATCGTCCTGTCGGGCCTCTTGGTCATTACGTGCGCCTGCTCAAGCCAGAGTGGTCTTCGATTCTTGAGAACGCATTCGGCACCACGCTGAACAGCTTTGTGGTAACTTCACCCAGGGACTCGAAGATTCTCTTCCAGATCATGAGGAAAGTTAACTGGTGAGTTTTCTATCTTCGTCACAAATTTGATATCTCTGACACTGCCGAAAGTGAGTGCCCCGTTCTGATAGGGAGTGATAAACACATCAATACTTCAGGCAATGAACCCGATTCTCAGTACGATACAGCCTTGCGGGTCCTTGAGGTGAGGAACTTCTGTAAGCGCCATTATGGTGAGTCTGGTCGGACTAATTCGCTTTTAGTTTGATAACGAGTGGGTTCGTGGACAGTTGATCATCAACCATCATATAGAAAAGATGCTGCTTATTGAGAACTTAGAAGAAGCATCTTCTGTTCTCTTTGATGGGCAACAGCCTAGAAACGTTAAACGTTGTTATTGCATTGACCAAACAAACAGACGCAGGGGTATTCATCTTTCTTTTAGCAGGACTGGTGAACCAAGCCAAGCACCAGTCCCAGCCTACAAGGGTTCTCCGCGAATGAGGTCAGATCGGGAATCTCAAATTAGGTGAATAATATCTATCGTTCTACAAGGCCCCCTGCTAGTGCTAACAACTTCTTTAGGGTACAGCAGAGTGTCGTGGCAGATCTAAAGCAGGACCTTAGCCGTCACGAACAAGAGCTTCGGTCTGCTCAGTCTCGGCTGGAAAGCTGCAAGCAAGCCCGTCAAAAACACGACCGAAGGTCAAACGAACTAAGAATTGCAGCACAGAGAATGGAAGACCGTGTCGAAGAGTTGATGGATGCGCTTGACAGGGAGGCTCCCGAGGATGGCCGCCTCGACGGGCTTCGGACCACACTGCAAGAGGCAGAAGAGGAAAGGCACCTTAATGAGGGATCAATGAATGACGCCACCGATGCTATGGAGGCCTTGATGAAAAAACTGAAAGCAATCAAGCAAGAGCTCGCGGCCAAAGACGCTGAGATTGCCATCGTACAAGAAGAGCTCAAAGTTGCTCAGGATGCGGAACGCAAGGCTGATGAAGAGCGCCGAAAGAGGATAAATGATAAGAACGCAGCAGCAGAAAGAATCGAGGATCGCAAGCGGGACAGAGATAGAGTCAAGAACAAGCGAGATGAGATCGCGGTACGTATCGTTGACTTCAGCGAAAAGGCAAATATAATCTGTGACCGAGTTGCCATCGAGGAAGGTGAAACAGCAGCTAGTCTGGACAGAAAACTCGAACGACTTCACAACGACATCAAGCGCTACGAGCAACAGTCAGTATAATCATATGTCTACAAGTATGAAGCGCTAATCATTGCGTAGGCTGGGAGCATCTCGCGACGAGTTACTTGCTGAGGTCACAAAGGCTAGCGAAGCCTATGATCGAGCTTTGAAGCAAGTAGAGGAGTTTAGGTTGTTGGCCGAAGTACGTACAGACCTCTCCCCTTCTCCCCATGAAACATCCAGTTGCTGACATAAAAGCAAGGTTCTTAAGGCGACACTGAATGTCCGCAAAAACCGCTGGCTAATTTTCAGATCACACATTTCATCTCGTGCCAAGGCACAATTCACTTACCTTCTGAGTGAAAGAAGCTTCAGAGGTCGGCTTCTGACCGATCATGAGGGCAAGCTTCTCGACTTACAAGTATGTTTGCTCTTGGCCGTCATTTTTGCTAAAGTACTCTGACAGTGCTTCATAGGTGGAACCGGACATCACAAAAGACAGCGCTGGTCGTGGTGCGAAGACACTTTCTGGCGGCGAGAAGTCATTTTCTCAAGTATGTCTGTTATTGGCATTGTGGGAGGCTATGGGGTCTCCAATTCGTTGCTTAGATGAATTGTAAGTTATCCAGAACCTTCAACAGGCCCTGTAGCTGACACGAATTTTCTAGCGATGTGTATATGGATCACATTAACAGGAAGATGGCTATCGATATGCTTGTATGTCGGACTTATCACGCCCAATCTGTACGTGCTAACGGGCCTATAAGATGCTAGCTGCCAGACGGTCGATAGGACGGCAATTCATTCTTATTACCCCCGGGTCAAGATCAGATATTACTTTGGCGCCTGACGTCTGTGTAAAGGAGTACGTCTGTGAACGAGATTGCTTGAACTGCAGCTAACATGTTCCCTATAGGTTGGCGGAGCCCGAGAGGGGTCAGACAAGACTAACGTTTTCACGGTAATTTTCAGTGGCTGTTGCATCACTGGTTTTCATTTCCTACTCTATTCTCACCCAGACTATCCATTCTCTGTCCCCTTTTTTGGGGGGGTGGCGGGGCGCTTTGGTCCGTTTCCTTCAACCTCACTGCATATCCTCTTTATGCATCAACGGCTTTCATCTACTTTCTAGAGCCCTTTCATGCAGTAACCAGTTCCCCTCGTTCTTCTTGTGGGCCATAGGATAAGACCGGGAAAATTATGGCCTGGGCACGCTATACTGCCGCATTTGCTATACTTGAGACACTATATGGAGGGATAAAATCGTCTTCCGCAGTGGGAGAAAATCAAAAATCCGTGTCTCACTAGCAGAATCTTTTTAAGCCGGGGTTTGAGCAATATGTCAAGCCTAGAGCCTTGGCAAATTGATGAATTTGATAGTAAATGAAATATCTAAGCAGTTGCTAGCCTAGATAAGAACTTAAGATTTCAATGTATTGAACCCGGCGTTGTAAGAGCAGCCCAATGTTAGTAGAGTCGGTCTTTGCGGTGTGGAGTAACTAGTAGTTACCGCCTACGTATGTGCCTAGGTAGGTACCTTAAGTAAGACTGCCACATGACCCGTGCTGCGGAAGCTGGTGTTCCGTATTTATGTGTATGATGCGTATTATTCACCACTCCCACCACCACATTGAAGTTTTCCATCCTCTTTCCACTTCACTCTCTACGATAAGCCATTCGCCTTTCACTCAGTGCGAGCCAAATCCGTCAAATAAAATTCCTCAAAACCAATCCAACACCTAATCTTAGGATCGGCTACCCATACGTCCGAATTGTTCGAATCGCAGCCCACATCCGTGGCACCCATCCAATTCTGTCTTCCCGAGTTTCGTTCCTGACGTCCAACCAAACGGCCCGCACACAGGCACGCCGCACTTCACATCAAGTCGCTGTCAAGTTTCCAGTTGACGATTTAATCATCAGAGGCCCCTTAAATACACCCTTGTCTCTTTCAACTCTTGCATAGCTCTTTTCGTCCTCATTCGGCTCCGAGCGGCCTCATTATATTGGGAACGGAAGCACAACCTTTGCATCCGGCCAACTTATTCACCTCACCACCTTGTGTTGTCCACCCGACTTCCGGTCTTCTCGAAGATAGGATTCCCCAACATTAAGTACTTTAATTTATATCATTTCCCTCGTGAGATCACACAGGCTAATGTATTTCAGACTTGGATCGAGCTAGTAATCACCACTGTCTGTCCCATCGCATTTGAGTGTTCCGCAACATATCGTTTGGAGGAAGAACAAGCAACCTACCCCACCTGATCTCCAATATTACCTCTTTCTACACCTGATCACCATGACCGACGCCTTAGCCTCTCAGCTGAATAACACTACTTTGGGGTACATTCACTGTCGCACGCTGGTTTATCCATATGATGAGGCTAACTTGAACACTTCGAAGGGATGCGAGCTCAGACGCGAAGTGGAAGGAGCAATTGAATGTCCCTGCCAAAGATGCGAGACCACAAACTGAGGTTCGTCTGGATCATGAACAATGGGTATGGATGTTGATTGCAATCTAATGCGGCTTAGGATGTGACTGCTACGAAAGGCTTGGAGTTCGAAGACTTCTACATCAAACGCGAACTGATGATGGGTATATTCGAAGCTGGTTTCGAAAAGCCTTCTCCAATCCAGGAAGAGACGATACCAGTCGCTCTTACAGGCAGGGATATCTTGGCGCGAGCCAAGAATGGCACCGGAAAAACAGCAGCTTTCGTTATTCCTACCTTGGAGCGCATCAATCCTAAAAGCACCAAGACACAAGCCCTTATCCTTGTTCCTACAAGAGAGCTGGCGCTCCAAACGTCACATGTCTGCAAAACTTTGGGAAAGCACCTCGGTATCAATGTTATGGTCACCACAGGAGGTACCGGCTTGATGGATGACATTATTCGGCTGAACGACGCAGTCCATATCCTCGTCGGGACCCCAGGGAGAGTCCTGGACCTGGCCAGCAAAGGGGTTGCTGACCTCTCCGAGTGTCCTACATTTGTTATGGACGAGGCTGATAAGTTGCTGTCACCTGAATTTACTCCAGTCATCGAGCAACTACTATCATTCCATCCTAAAGACCGCCAAGTAATGCTTTTCAGCGCCACCTTCCCGCTTATTGTGAAGTCATTTAAGGTATGCTCCGTGCATGGAGACATCAATCACATGGATGCTGATATTCTTAGGACAAACACATGCGCAATCCGTACGAGATCAATCTCATGGACGAGCTCACTCTCCGTGGAATCACGCAGTATTATGCCTTTGTTGAGGAAAAGCAGAAAGTCCACTGCTTGAACACACTTTTCTCCAAGTTACAAATCAATCAATCCATTATCTTCTGCAATTCTACCAACCGTGTCGAGTTGCTCGCTAAGAAGATAACGGAACTGGGTTATTCTTGCTTCTACTCCCATGCCAGAATGCTTCAGCAGCATCGCAATCGGGTGTTCCACGACTTCAGGAATGGTGTTTGCCGGAACCTTGTTTGCTCGGATCTGCTAACTCGAGGTATTGACATTCAAGCCGTCAATGTTGTCATAAATTTTGATTTTCCGAAGAACGCCGAGACTTATCTGCACCGAATTGGTCGATCTGGCCGCTTTGGGCATCTTGGTCTTGCTATCAACCTTATCAATTGGGAAGACCGGTTCAATCTATATAAGATTGAACAGGAACTTGGAACTGAGATCCAGCCTATTCCACAAAACATCGACAAGAAGCTTTATGTCTATGACTCACCGGACACAATTCCACGCCCTATTGCCAATCCATCCCAGCCCCAGATTACTGCCCAAGCTGCGAATGCAAACATTGGTGAGCGTCGTCACAACCACCATATGAATGGTGGGCAGTACCAATATGGTAGGGGCCGGGGCTCTTATCGCGGAGGTCGTGGACAAGGCCAGCGTCGCAACATGCAGAACGAAACCAAGTTTGGCACTCAAGGACAGTCGAGCGGCAAGTCCCACCCAACGCAAGTGTCATAGACATAGGATCATGTGCTTCTCTGTCTCTTATCTTTCCACTTTTTACTCATATCTTGCATGTTTCCTTGCCATTCTATCATATTTCAAGTTCATTGTTCTGTTAGCTTTCTTTTCTCTCCCCCCCCCCCCCAACCCCCTCTTGTTCTTTTCTCTTCAACCTCTACCGGGTCGTTTCTTCGTTTGGAGAGGCCAGGTTGCAAGTGACTACGATAGCTTGTTCAAGCACTACAGATTCATTGTTTCTGTCATCGTTGCTGTATTCACTTGCCCGATATCATATCAACTATGATCTATGATAACGTTTGAAGAATTGTATTATAACGCATGCTATCCCTTCTCTCTCCGTTCCGTGTACTGCTCCGGCCGCCTCACTTCCCGCTTCCTACCATCTTATTCTATACCCTACCCCACCCTCTTCTTCAATTCGCCACGCCAAACCACTATGTACCTGCATTAGACGGTATGCACTTGGTACCGTGAGCACCATTATTTGCCTTCTGGCTTCCTTCCATGTACATAATTTCTTCTGCTCCACACCAGATGTTTCGATTTACGGTTTCGGGGCGTTTCCGGGCTTGAATTTCGACCTCCTTCTCTTGGCGTTTGAAGGTCTCTTTTAACTAACAGCTGGGTTTTTACTGATCAATTTCCATAGCCGCACGGCTATCCCGTCATTGCATATGCGTTATACGACTTTGAATCTTTAGGGTGAAAGATGCGCCGAGTTGAGATACTCCCGACATGCCTCTGCACCTTGGCTCAGTCATGACTACAACTATCGGCATATTTGTGGTCTGCGATTTGCATTCGGCGCACTGCGTTAATGGAGTTCGTTGTTATTTTGTGGCTTCATACAAGGGCCATTGTCGGACCGAGTGATCTGGCCCTTTTCTCACGCGTCGCATCTTCTCGACCAGTCACCTAGCAGTTCTTCCACCATCATAAACATCGCAGTTGGCATTTTTCATCACCTGCTGATGGACGTTTTTGTGAAGTACAGCAGAGGCTCGACGTTCGTTCGGTCTGAAGGCACATGAATTGCTTTGTGTTCGCCGACTAGGGACTCAATCTGGCATTTCAAATTGTCTCTGGCATCGGTGGCGCGAATGTGATTAACAGCTGGGAAAGGGGATGGGGGGAGGCAGGAGAGTTTGTGCGTTGATGTTATGCACAAAGGTGAAACGGGTGGGGATATCACGGATTAAAGTGACAAACCCAAAAGAAAAGAGACAGGAAAAGGAAAACCCCCCCCTTCAAAAAAAGAAAAGAAATGGAAAAGAAAATGGCAGAAGCAAAGCACAAAATAAAAGAGAGAGAGAAAGAAAAAGAAAAAAAAAATTAAAAACAAATGGGAAAACCCCCAGGGAGTGATTGATGCCGCCGCGTTCTCTCGGTTTTTAGAGCTTACAAAGTATGTAGTGCCTAGCGGAATGGAATCTTAAATCCCTGGGAATCGACCAGAATCATCTCGATAAATGTGAACATACACCCCAAATTACAATATGGGAAAGAGTGGTGAACGGTACTACGGAGCCCAGTTTAAGCTTAACTGATAATATTTTACTAATTACCTAAGTCTACCCCACGTAACTGGGTGGGTTGCGGGAGTTGCTCTCGCCGAGCCCCGTATCCCTAGTATGACTCCTAGTGCTGAGCGACCCCCGGCGAATACACAGCAGTCGGCTAACAGACTTCCACACGGGTCCTGCAGCAGATACCCTGGCAATGGCAACCTCCGAGAACGATAAGAGGCCTAAGGTTTGCTGCAATCCTCTTGGTACCCCAACCGTTCACCAACGTTTCTCCCTAACAAAGTATTAGCCCAGCAGCCTGCGGTCCATCATCGCAGGCTCTACTGCTGGTGCAATCGAGATCGGTAACCATCCTCTTATTAGAAATTAAGATGCTGCTTGCTAATTCGATGGCAGCAATTACCTATCCGGCCGAATGTAAGACCTTTTCAGACCTAGACCTTTCAATTATCGGTTAACACCTGGCGCGCTCAGTTGCGAAAACCCGATCTCAACTCAATCGCAGATTACCGGACGCAAAGAAACTCCCATGGCCGCCATTTGGAGCACAATGGTACGCTGGGTGCACAACTTTGATTATAGGGAATTCACTCAAGGCAGGAATTCGTGAGTCCATCCTGTTCCATCGAAACGATCTTGTAGCGGTATAGTCACTTATGCTGAGATCTATTTTCAAAAAGGGTTCGTCGCCTTCGATTGGTTGAAGTCACTTTTGCAGGATGAAAACGGCAAGATTTCTGGACCAAGAACAGTCATCGCAGGTTTCGGCGCAGGATTTACAGAGTCATTGCTAGCCGTTACTCCATTTGAGAGCATCAAAACACAATTGTCCGTTAAGTTCTGACCCTCATCGTACCATCGTACTGGGCCATAGCTTCTGCTGCGAATTGTACGAATAGAACTAACTGTGTCTGATGTCAATGGATACTGCAGGATCGATGATCGCAAATCACAAAATCCTCGCATGCGTGGATTCTTACATGGCAGTAAAGTGATCTTTCAGGAGCGGGGTGTTCGCGGTTTCTTTCAAGGCTTCGTCCCTACGACTGCACGACAGGCTGCCAACTCAGCTGTTAGGTTTTCGAGCTACACAATGCTGAAGCAAATGGCCCAGGGTTATGTCGCTCCAGGTGAGAAGTTGGGAACCGCGAGCACTTTCGCTCTGGGAGGCATTGCAGGCCTCATCACTGTGTACGCCTACCTACCCCTCGGGTATTGCTTACGATCATTATACTAACACTCTTGTGTGATAGCTATGTTACGCAACCTCTTGATACTGTCAAGACAAGGTATGTATCTGGCAGGCCGGGGGTGCATCACTTCAATGTAGCCGTACTCTGACACAACAGCAGGATGCAATCGCTGGAAGCCAGCAAGAACTACAAGAACAGTTTTGTCTGCGCTGCGCGTATATTCAAGGACGAAGGCATCTTCACCTTCTGGTCTGGTGCTGTCCCACGGCTAGCGAGATTGATTATGAGCGGAGGCATAGTGTTTACGATGTTCGTGCTAAAATAACCCTTTCGCTGAGTGTGCATGCGACTAACCCTCTTACAGGTACGAGAAAACCATGGATGCTTTGGATGGTCTCGATCCGGAAAGGCGATACATTTGATGGGGAGCACTTTGGCCAGTAGGTGCGACACATGGTGAGGAACACCATTACTATTCGGAATGCCCGATGCGTGTGAATTTATAGTGTGCCATATGATATGACTGTATCTACATCATGCCTATAAGCGAATAGCTGTCTTTGTGACGATACCTTGACCCTAACGCGGTTGGGCACGCAGTCCTTCTTTATCTTGGACTGATTCTTCAGCAGCCAAGGCCTCTATTTCGCGCTCGACGAGCCATGTCCGTACGCTTTCCATTACGGTTTCTAGGCCCTCGCCACCATCAAGAACACTATCCAGGTTGTGTATGGTGAGGCCGCTGCGATGGTCTGTGCAGCGATTCTGACCGTAATTGTAAGTCCGGATCTTGTCACCGCGTCCCATTCGAGCAACACCGCCCATTGCTCCTCTCCTTAGGTTAACCATTTCCTGTTCTCGGGCTTCTCGTCTTGCTTCAGCTATTCTCGCCCGTAAAACCTGCCAAGCCTTCTTTCGATTGGCATGTTGGGAACGTGAATCTTGCATGGAGACAACGGTACCCGTTGGTATATGGGTTAACCGAATAGCTGACTCGGTTTTGTTGACGTGCTGACCGCCTGCGCCACCGGCTCGCATCTTCTCTGTGCGAACCTCTTGAGGATCCACATAGTAGTCGCTGTTTGGGTCCTCGAAATTGAGTGAACTATCCAGGCCGCTTCCGGAGTCTGGAAAACTAGGAAGTATCATCACACTAACGGCACTGGTATGTGTGCGGCCCTTCGCCTCGGTGGCGGGAACCCTCTGTACTCTATGAACTCCCGACTCCGTTCTCAGGATGTCATAGGCCCCATCCGCGTCAACTTCCAGGACCGCTTCACTCAATCGGTCTTGCGCAGGGCCGTCTGCAACATCCTGTTTTATGAGGCTATATCTGAAACCACGACGTGAACAGAAGGCGATATACATCCTCAAAACCTCAAAAGCAAAAAGACCAGCCTCGTCACCACCTGCGCCGGGGCGTATTTCGAGCAAACATGGGAGGTCTGCGAAAGGGTGGCGAGGTATAAGGGCCTTCTTCAGATTATCCGCTATGGCAGGCAGCGCGACCTTGCTGCTCTCCAGATCTTCAACTGCAAGCGACCTCAGCTCAGCATCGGTTTCCGGGTCATTAAGCAATGACAAAAGTTCAGATATAGACTGCAATTTGTCAATAAAGCTCAGTACATAAATACATTGGAGAAAGACATACACTATTTGCGTGTTCCCACTCTTTTAAGGTACTTGCGATTGGCGCAAGTTCACCCACTCTTTTGGCGAGTTTCGCATCGAAAACCTCGGCCAAATGAGCGGAGAGTGTGGAATGTTCATTGGTCAGAGAACGAGCGCGTGCTAAGAGGGCTTGTGAAATGCCGGCGGAATCTACATCGGACCATATTAGTTTATTGCTAGACAATGAAACAGACATAGATATGAAGGTATAGCAGACCAGTTTTTAGGCCGCGCCGTTGTAGAAACGGACGGGGATTGGAGCCAAACCTAGCAGCAGACCGCACGAAACATCGAGCGCATATCCAGGGCGCGTTGAACATGTTCTATCGAGCTGTGATTGAATAAACCATGCTCGTTGGTCCCGACTCGAGAAAACCAGCAGCTGGAATTTCGGCTAGCTCGAGATTTGGGGCATGCGGAGGTTGTGATATGGCAAGTACGGATACGGATTTAACAGCTCCATACGGGAATCTAACGGGTGGTAATATTACCGTATGTAATGTTGCCGTAAAGGCCAGACTGGAAGAAGATGGTCATGGATCAAGCTTCCTTTTTCCTTCCCCTTCGACGAACGACGATATAGTGTCTGTCCTGCCCGCTACTGTTGGCATTGATAATATGTGAAAGTGCTTTCTGACCTTTTCAGGGTCCCTCACGCTCTTTATACCTTCAAACCTCTGTCATCCATTTCATACTGACCATACGTCCTGACTTACTATGATACTTGCGCCATAACTTAATCCTGCTTCCATCGTCAAAGTCCCGTTTCAGGTGTCTCACGGACTAGACGAACATGCACTTGCCTCTGACATCTCTTACGGTCTTTCTGGCCTTTTTTTCCGCTGGCCATGGCCTGCAGTCTTCCCAGATTCCCTCTGACACCCCGTTATCATCTTTGATCGCTTCTGCGAAAACTCACCTTGCGGGTGGTTCCCCCCGCGAGGCCTTGATGTATTTTGATGCAGCTGTGTCCAGGGATCCCACAAATTATCTTACACTCTTTCAGAGAGGTGCTACCCATCTGTCCCTTGGTAAAAGCTCACTGGCTCTTGAGGACTTCGACCGGGTTCTCCAACTGAAGCCAGACTTCGAAAGCGCTCTTCTACAACGGGCACGGCTGAGAGCCAGCTCTGCTGACTGGGCAGGTGCGTTGGATGATCTTGATAAGGCTGGTAAGGGGTCCACACCAGAGTATCAAGAACTCCGCGATTCGCGTGATGCTGCGTCTGCCGCGCTGGAAGCGGAAAGTCGCGGAGCCTGGGATGTCTGTGTAAGCCAGGCGAGTGTAGCTTTGTCCAAGGCAACCATATCTTTGAGCCTGCGGCGGGCTCGGGCACATTGTCGCTTTGAGACTGGTGAAACAGAACAGGGAATCAGCGATCTTCTTCACGTGCTACAAATTCACCCGAGCTCCTTGGAGCCCTATCTACAGATATCATCTACACTTTTCTATGCCTTGGGAGACACAGACCGCGGTATCGCCCAAATACGCAAATGTCTGCATTCTGACCCCGATTCCAAACCGTGCAATCGCCTTTACAGAAGGGAAAGGCAGCTCGTGAAACAGTTACAGAAACTGGAGGACGCTCTGAATGCGCGAAAACACAGTAACGCCATCAATATACTGGTAGGAGTCGGTAGTGAAGGCGGTCTTCTTGATGACGTGCGGAAGGATGCTGCACAGGCGAAGGAGGATGGTCATATCCACCCAAAAGCCCCGAGCAGCCTTTATGCCTCACTCGTCGAACGAGCCTGTGACGTTTTCCGAGAGGTTTGTGGGACACCTAACCCCTGCTGAACATCACCCTTTCCGCGGTACATGACTAAATCTCGCATCACTTCTAGGCGCAAATGCCCAAACGGGCTAGTTCCTACTGCTCTGAGGCTTTAACTTTCGATCCTAATTCTTTACCAGCGCTGCTCCTCGAGAGTCAGCAAGCTATTGACGAGGATCGATTTGATGATGCTATCCGGTTGCTTAATCAAGCCAAGGAACATCATTCCAGTTCGAGGGAAGTTCAGACCCTGTTGCAGAAGGCCCAAGTTCTACAGAAACGCTCCAAGCAGAAAGACTACTACAAGGTTTTGGGTGTGGGCCGTGATGCGGACGAGAGGACCATCAAGCGTGCTTATCGGCAGCTTACGAAACAGCATCACCCCGATAAGGCCATTTCCCAGGGTGTTACCAAGGAGGAGGCTGAGAAGAAGATGGCCTCAATTAATGAAGCTTACGAGGTACTATCAGATCCTGAATTGCGATCCCGGTACGACAGCGGCGATGACCCCAATGACCCCGAGTCACAAAGGGGCCGGCCATTTCAGGGGAGTCCGTTTGGGCCAGGCGGCCAATTTTTCTTCCAGCAGGGCGGCGGTCAGCAGTTCAAGTTCTCGGGTCAGGGCTTCAACTTTCCCGGCGGGTTTCCTTTCCGCTAATGTTGGGGTCCGGACTTCCAACTGCTGGAGGAATATACTGTACTTAAGTTATGCACCTTTTGTTCTTGTTCCAGTCTGTTTCGGGACTGATGATCATTTTGTGCCATAGCCATGCCCTGGTTTTCTAATACAAGGCAATACTGTGACTCAAGAAGCGTATTCATAAACATTCTGATGTCTCACATTCGAGTAGACTGGACCTAATTGATTTCGTTTCGATACGGATTGGCCTTGTGCTCTTCTCTTCGTTCGTTCCATCCTTGCTCATCTTCCCGGGCGGTCGGTTAGGGGAACGTAGCTAACCTGGAACACCTTTTCTTTGCGGACTGAACCATCCTCTCTTTTTTCAACTACCCAGATATACTGTCCTCCCCCCAGCCCAAAGCTAGCCTCATCATCCTCCGCATCGACGGGTATGAACATTCGCCCTGGTGCGCGGAGCTGCTCGATGAGTACGGGGTGAAGGTGATGCGCGGCCGCGCCAACATGGATGGCGTCGTACGGTGCACCTTCTTTCCAGCCCAGGCGACCATCGGCGGTAATGAATTTCACCCTTCCAGAGTCAAGAAAGCTACTCCCCTCTTTTGATTTGCGCATGTTTGTCTGTGCCAGCTCCACCAACTCCGGAATGTGGTCTACACCTATAACCTGGCCATCGGCTTCGCTCGTGGACGAAGGACTCACGACGAGGTTTGCAAGCACGTGGGTGAGGTAACCCGAGCCAGATCCGATGTCTAGCACACGCGAGCCTGGCTTCAGATAGTCGATGAGGTATTCACAGGCATGTCCATGCATGTGGGGAGCAGATATGGTAGCTCCATGCCCGATGGGCTGCGGTGAATCGGAGTATGGCCTTGAGGGCGCATAATGGGCGCGATCAACCTTGCACTTTGGTTAGAAACGCCATTTCACCCAGAAAGCAGGAATGTTGTCAGGTCGTCCAGTGCCCTTTAGGAGGCAGACATGTGGCTAGGCGTGGAAGAATGGGGCGGGGGAGAAGGGGGTCAACCTTTCCCTCCGTTTGGGGTCCGGCGATTGTGTCAAGCAGGGGTAAGCACTGGCCGCAGTGTTTTGACAGTGTGAAGTCCAGGGATAGGAGCTACTACTCACGCCTAGCATGGCATTCTTCACTCTTTCATTTTTTATCAGACCCGTCTTAAACAGATTCGCGATGAGCTCGCTATTCGTGGAGCCGGAGCAATACCACGCCATTGATAGGGACCTTTGCAGGAGCTTCTTTAATAATGAGGATACTCTTATGGGTGTCTTTTTTGGCATGTAGCGCGCGACTGGTTTCTTTTACTTTAGTCCGAGACAGCAGGCAGTGCCCGTCGCAGATACCAATATCGGACCTGGCCTGTAGATGAGATCACTAGGCAAGCAAGTGTTTAAGCTGCAGGTACGCTTCTCACGGGAGCCGTTCACATGATGGTCGTAGCCTTAGGTAGCTATGACGCAATGCTAAACCGCCTCCGGTCACGTGTATGTACCCGGGGTTGAACCCCTTCGGTGTCTGGGAAGAAGGGGCACGCCGGGGAGCTAATGTACTATCGTTTGCTTTGTACGGGATAGGCAGGCAGGTATAGTATATTGTATCATGCGGTAGAGTATTTTAGAAGATGGGCCCTTATATGTGACGGTATTTGTTCACTGGATGGTGTACCACCGTTTCATGGTGCAGATGTATGTCTATAAATATGATTATATATAAACTCGGGTATCGAGAACTACACCCATGCTCGGAGTCCATGTACTACATCTTATACACTGATTACACACAAGAATAAGTAAAACGAGTTTAATCAAGAAATCCGAATCCATAGCTTTTCAAGGCTTAGCAAGCTCGAATCACATAGACAAAATACTCTGTACCATCGGTCTCGACAAGCAAACAACCTAACCACGCAAGGGCCGGGTAACTTGTAGTTAATAAGCACTAGCCGCACTGGCTTCATAACAATTAATAATCAAGCATATCAACCAGGTATTAACCCACAGTACTAATCTAATCAACCAGCCAACCAACAACTAGTTACTATGTAGGAGTAACTGATTACTAGTACTCCACCAGTTAACCAACTGACCACTCAAAGTGACCTACTTAACTGACTGATCAACCAACAAGGGCCCGGGCCGGTAACCAGCTATCACATCTCCGAAAATTCACGGGAGAAAGCATACTCTACTACACCGGCCCATGGATTGTGACGGGATTTAGAAGACCACAGTGCGATCAGATGACCAGCAGAATGGCTGGATTGCTAGTCGATTGCATCACCCCACCATGGAATCGCCCACAGCAGATCCGGATACACAGGCTGAGGTAGATCTCATGATACTGGATTACCTCCTGTGCATGGCCATTGACCAAGTCCTGGACTCCGGGAATGGTAAAGTTGAAGATGACACTAGCTGGAGTCTCGATACGATCAACAGTATGGACATTTCGAAGCGCCCGATATTACATAGGTACTGACATATGACCCAACAGCCATCAAGACTGCACTCTTACCATCGGACACTCTTCCCAAAGACATGCAGATAAAAACCCAGATACTAGAGCTCGCACAATTGTTCAGTGATGGCAATGGAAAAACGGAGCCAAGCAGAGGACTTGCTACAGAATTGTCGCAGGAAGACCAGCGCAGGAGTCCAATTACACGATCTGGAAGAAGCACCCCCCAACCATACCAGCCCCATAAAAGCGATAAAGTACCCGCCCATGATACCCGGGTTGTCGCCTTCGATAGATCCTACAATGCGCTAGTCCGATTTGTCACACTTTGCGGCACTGTGAGAGACAATTTACCAGATGGACACGCTGATATTGCTGCGAATTTAATAACCCAAGCTGCACTGAACGAGTACCACACTGCGGGTGTTAAGGCGCCAGGCAGGTACAGAGAATGCACTGAACGTGTCACTGCGTGCCTGCGCGAAGCCTTGGATCCGTATGCAGAGCAGGTAAGCCTAGCATACCTGAGCACCCTGTTACCATCCATCGACCTTGCATCAGCCGAGTCGGAAGGATCTGGGCGGAAGTCACCACGCGGAGATACTATTACCCGCTCGGTACATCGTTTCCTGACCGACCTCATGAAGACACTAGACCCTCCAATACTCATTCAACTCGAGAGAGGAAAACTTGGAGGACTGAGCCGTGAAGAGACCCAGCAGTTGAAGGACAGGATAGGGCTTTGATATTAGAGAACGTCTTGGCATGTACGTATATGGTAATGAGCCAAGTTGTTGAAATTCCACGACAACCATAGGCAGCAATGAAGCTTAATGAAGTTTGTATTGTAAGCTGATACGCTTGGTTACATCTCCGTACAGGACAGTTATTCTACAATTCGAGAGCGTTAAGTGCAAAAATAAGAGGCAAAAGGGAATGGTTGATATGTGCCCAAAACCTCCAATACCCAACAGGCTAGTTCAATCAGCGTGAAAAGTCTAGCCCAGCAGCATCCGACGGGGGTCTTCGATGTATTCCTTGACCTGCGATAAGCCAGAGTTAGCACACATTTCGAAAACAAAGATGGAAGAAGAATTATTAACCTTAACCAAGAAAGTCACAGCCTCACGACCATCCAAGAGTCGGTGATCGTAAGTCAGGGCAAGATACATCATCTGTTCAAAATATTAGCGACCACTACGGCCTTTCCTCCCTTTCTATGTTTTCATGCAGAGTGTGGGGACATACAGGGCGAATTTCAACTTTACCGTTCACAGCCACCGGCTTGTCCTTGATTGCGTGGAGTCCGAGAACAGCTTGAAAAGAATTAGATATACATCCAAGCGACACACCAAGATTCAGACCTACCTGTCTGTGGGAGGTTGATAATGGGAGTTCCCATCAGAGAGCCAAAAACCCCGCCCTAAGCGTAATGTTAATAACTAAGCGAACACCTGGTAGACAACAAGTAAGCACTCACATTGCTAATGGTGAAAGAGCCCCCGGCCATGTCCTCGATAGTCAACTTATTATCACGAGCCTAGCAAAAATCACGTTAGCCACTTTTCGTTCAAGCCAGCTTCCAGATAATCTCAAACCTTCTTGCCAAGATCCGCGATGGCTTTCTCTATGCCAACGAGGTCCATGGTCTCTGCATTGCGGACCACTGGTGTCACTAGGCCCTTCTCAGTAGCAACGGCCACGCTGATATCCACGTAATCACGATAAACGATGGTGTCTCCACCATTGGGACCCTCGATGGAGGCATTAACAGCGGGAACGTCTTTCATGGCAAGAACACAGGCGCGAGAGAAGGCACTCATGAATCCGAGTTTGACACCAGTCTTCTTCAATACGTCGTCCTTGTACAGCTTGCGGAACTCCATGAGGGAGGACATGTCAACTTCGTTGAATGTGGTGAGAGAAGCTGCCGTGTTCTGGGACTGCTTCAGGCGTTCTGCGATCCTCAATCTCATCCTATTCATTTTAACCTATCAAGAAAGTAGGAAGATCCAATGTTAGTGGAGGGAAAAAGAAGGTTGATGCAGCCAATCGGCCGGGTACATACCCTCCTCTCTTCGCGACCCCCAACGCTGGGCTTGGCAGGTTCGGAGGCCTGAGGCTTTGTAGCTACCGGCTCTGTTTTCTTTGAGGGACTGGGCTCCGAAGGTGTGGCCTTCTCGGATGAAGACTGGGGTGCTTCGGGTGCCTTCGGTTTCTCAGGTTCGGAAGCCGTGGGCTTGTCAGCATCAGCTGGCGCGGCCGGCTTTTCATTTGCGTCTTCCTTCTTGGTTTCAGGGGCACCTCCAAGCTCCAACTTGACAAGGTCCTGTCCAACTGTGACGGTGTCTTCCTCGCCCACGAGGAACTCTTTGATGGTACCGGATTCAGGGGCATTAACGGATACATCAATCTACACAAGTGAGTCGCTGATTTATACTTCACAGGGGTATTTCCGATGTAGCAGGAAGCGGCCATCGCCTGGTCTCAGCGCTTACCTTGTCAGTCTCAATGGTTGCGATCTCCTCGTCCCGTTCAACGTAGTCACCGATCTCTGCCGCCAAAATTAGCCCAGTCCATTGATACGTCGAGCGCTGAGATCTCACGTTTGGAGAATTGCTTCAATGTCCCTTCGGTGATCGATTCCGCCATTTGTGGAACCTTGACAACAGTGTCCGCTAACCGGAAACAACAACAGGCATTAGTAAAGTAGCGTTTCGAGAAGTGGAGGGAGAATATTACCATAAGTTCGCACCTGAGCAGCCGCGAAGGGAGCGATACCGAAGCGAGACATTTTGGGTCTATGGCAACAGTTAGTCGTTCATTGCTATTCAACAAGCATGACTTGGTACCACTGACCCCAGAGCCGTAACCTGCTGAAGACCCGCGCTTGACTTGAGAGAACCATTGGCGCTTTTCTGGGAAGCAATGGACATCAAGCTTCTGGCGCGGCCGATGTGGAGGCTGCGGGAAACGCTGGCGTTTCGATGAAGAGCTCTCAGGTGTTGCCCAGAGAGGCGATGGAACGGTAATCGAGAAGCCATAATGACTGGCTTGGGTCCGTCTGGATAATCAGATTAACAAAGATTGTAGAAATGTAGCCGGGAGTTGTGGTAGCACAAAATAGGCCCCGGAAAGAGTAGACGTTGTTGTTGTTGTTAGGCTCTAGTCCTAGTCCTAAGGTATGGATATTTCCTGTCGGGAACTGTAGAGTGACGAAACTTATGTCAGTCGAGGGCACTGCAAGCTCAAGCCCGGGCCGAGACAACCGGAATTTCCCTCAACGAGCGCGGCATTCCCTGCGCCCGGCAAATGAACGGAGTATTATTATTACGCTACTGCGGGCGTCGAAAAGCACCAACTTGGTACTTTCGTGACCCGCATAGGATCATTAACGGCTAGGTAACTGAACGAGCTGTAAACTTCGTGCAAAAATCAATATAGACTACAACCAGACAGCCGTGATTCACAAACACGGCAGACCCGAGAGAAAAGTGTCCTAAGACAACTCACGCCTACGGAACGGAACTGCTCCAGAATCAGGATGCCTCTCAACGCTGGCGCGTAGGTTGACCAAAGGAAGAGCGAATAGAAGATATCCTGACTTTGTTCTCCAGTTCACTTTATCGACGGTCCCTGAAACTGGCCCTTGATTGGGCCGTTCACCGCCATATCTGGAGAGGACAAGCTGTGTATATCCGCTCACTTTTCGAGGCCAACAAAGATGTTCGCGATCCCCGTCAGCAGAAGGTAAGTGCTGCTTCTCATTGCATTGAACAACTAGTGTTCATAGAACTGACGGTAAAACGAACAGGTACTGCTTCAAGAGACAGAAAAGCTCCTAGAGACATGGAAACACCCTGACCCTTACCGCGCACCTACGGCCCCGGGTGGTAAGTCTGACGAGAGTGTGCTTTATGAAACGGTATCTTGATCTGACATCTCTATAGGCAGCAAGTACGAGAGAAATATTCCCGCCCCTCAATTGCCCCGTGAGTGAACCAATAATGACCTACTGAATGCATCGAATATTGACGCGGCAATATCTGCTAGTTGCTTCGGACAGCTCGGCACACTGAGTATGACTGCAGCTCCTATGCGCAGTTATCTTGTATTCCTAGGTCCATAGATGAGAATAAATTGACTACTACATCCTTATATCCCGGGGGACCTTTAATTGCATAATGGGCCACTTTTTAAGGTGAAAACAGCTCAACGGACACCATTTGGTCTTCACTAGGCGAGCGCACTCCTTACACGAGTCTTGACTAGGATAGAAGATTGAATCCGTGAAAATGCTGTCGGTATCATTCCATGTCCGTAGACATAATGTACAACCATAAACTGTGGAAACTAGAAAAAAGAAAACGCAGAGCCATAAACGTTCCGACCAGAACCCCGTTATCACATCAATAAGAGAACCAAACCGCGCCGAATCAGAGAACCCAAATTAGAAAGAAATTGTTTACAGCTCCTGGCTTCCCGGGCCCTTTCCACTCTTGGGGGTCTTCTTGGGCAGAAGGTCTGTGTATGGTCAGCACCACATGCTGGATTTTCAGGTGGGGCTGAAACTTACTCTGGTGGATGTTGGGGAGGACACCACCCTGGGCAATGGTGACGTGACCCAGAAGCTTGTTCAGTTCCTCATCGTTGCGGATGGCGAGCTGAAGGTGACGAGGGATGATACGGGTCTTCTTGTTATCGCGAGCAGCGTTGCCAGCCAATTCAAGGATTTCGGCGGCGAGATACTCAAGGACGGCAGCGAGGTAAACGGGAGCACCTATTGTATGATGTTAGACCTGTCCTTTGATGGGACACTTTAAGATATAACGAGTATCACTTACCGGCACCAACACGCTGGGCATAGTTGCCCTTGCGGAGCAGACGATGGACACGACCAACGGGGAAGGCGAGACCGGCCTTAGACGAGCGGCTGCGATTTCGTGTTAGTTTAATATCTCGAAGAAAACGAGAGATGGACGGGTGGCATACGATTGGGCGTTCTTGCTGCCGCTGGCCTTGCCTCCAGATTTGCCTCCAGTCATTTTGATAGGTGGAATATGAGTTTTTGTGAAGGTGTTTAATTAAGAAGTTGTAGTTAACAAGTGACGATGGCGATAAGCGGGATACGGTGCTAAAGGGTTGACGGCCAACGCGAGGGAGCGGAGGACATATATAACAACGCGATCAGGGTGACGTTGGACTACTCGGGAGCCTTTCAGATCACCCTCTCGCTTAGCGGGGTCAGCCAATCACAAATGAGATCATGCTCCGGCGCACCCATAGCTTGGCAAAGAGTCTTTGGTATGATTCCGCGCGTGGTCGTCCCCAATACAGTTAAGCGTGGTAATTAATCATTCTAGTTTCGATACGGTTATATTAGCGTGATCTTAGTCAACTCCCCATAGTGGACGACGCGTTCTCCCTCATCTAATCATACAGATCATACACAAATGTGACCGTATTGAAATTCTGCTTCTTTTGCGGACTCAGGATCAACTGAGTATTTGCGAGCTAGTATAAGTAGCGCGCCTCCCTCGTCACCGCGTCTCCCTCATTCTTATCCTCATCTTCACTCTATCCTCTGTCGACGCCAACGCAACCACCGTATCTTATACTCTTATCACAACTCTTCATCTTTCATACCTAATCTCAAATCTTTCAATATGCCTCCCAAAGCCGCTGAGAAGAAGCCCAGCACCGGTGGCAAGGCCCCGGCTGGCGGCAAGGCTCCCGCTGAGAAGAAGGAAGCCGGCAAGAAGACTGCTGCCGCTGCCTCCGGCGACAAGAAGAAGCGTGGAAAGACCAGGAAGGAGACCTACTCCTCTTACATCTACAAGGGTGAGTGGTTTTTAAGTCATCTAGTTTTAGACGACAAATCATTGACTTTACTTCGTAGTCTTGAAGCAGGTCCACCCTGATACCGGTATCTCGACTCGCGCTATGTCCATCCTGAACTCTTTCGTCAATGGTATGTTGTGAAACGAACCGCAGTCTGCATGTTAGCAAATACCTAACGCGTTCTAGATATCTTTGAGCGTGTCGCGACCGAAGCCTCGAAACTTGCTGCTTACAACAAGAAGTCCACCATCTCTTCACGGGAGATCCAGACCTCGTAAGTGCTTTGCAGACCAAAACGGTAGTAAATAACTAATATTTCCCAGTGTGAGGCTCATCCTTCCCGGTGAATTGGCGAAGCACGCGGTGTCCGAAGGCACCAAGGCTGTCACGAAGTACTCGTCGTCTGCCAAATAAGCATTTTCCTTTCTTTGTTTTCTTTCTGCAGGATTGTTCTTTTGCTACCTCGTCATCTGTTACGGTTTTGAGGTGGTGGGTTACAGGGTGTTTGCGGGATTCTAATGTGTCATGGGATGGCTTTATTTCTTTTTTCCCCTTGGGCCAAATGTTTATGGTTGCTTTTTTTTTGTGACGTGAATGCGGTGTAACATAACTCGGATGTGGGGTTGGTTGCGCGGGTTTACCTTCCTCAACAGAATTCGAATATCAAATTGCCTAGTTGCATGTCTATAAGATTGGAACGCAGTGGTGCATCGTTTCTAGGCTGGGTACTAAGGTTAATCCGTCTAAATGTATTGACAGCAAGAGCTATTCGATATCATCCAGCGCTTCAACCTGGTCAAGTGCTTCTGCTTCCTGATCGTGGCCAGGATTCATCTGCTTGAGTACATGGATTATCGGCCGTCCCTTGACGGCTTGTATGCGGTTTAACCAGTCGTCCCAATCTTCCTGGTCTCGGATGAGGAAGCCTATAAGCATGCTCGGATCCATGTCCCGCACGTGAATCCTTCTCAAGCGCCGTGTATGATAAGTATCAACCTCCTCTTTTGAGTATAGTTCGCCTCCTTGGCGATCCGGAAGCGCAGGGCGGGTATAATGTGGATCTAGATAGAATAGATGTGACCCTTGGGCTCCAACAAAGTAGTGTGACGCCGACGGGCGTCCCCTAGTGATGACGTCAGCTTTGATGAAGAGAAATAGCTCACGGGTGGGCAATATTACCCTGCAATTCCGACTGATTGAGGGAACTGCAATGTGGCTTTTAGGCCATCCCAATAGACTGGAGTGATATGGTCGATGCCGAGCCTTGTTCCCAGCAGTATCAGGGTAGGCTGAAAGACACCGGTAGAGTTTCGGGCGACATTCATGAACCTGTCCTGGTAAACTTCCGATGTATCATTAGAGACATAGACTTTGAGTGTAGGACTTCCACACTGTGACGAAAGTGCTCTGTTTCGTTGTTCAGTTTACTTCTTTATATTAGTTGCTAGATGCAATGCGGAACATACTCTATGCACTTAGCCGTTGCGGAGGGCCCAAACCATTCCCCTGGGAACTTCCCACACGATTCGGCGCCATGCTTGACGAACCGATGTACAGAGAAGGGGGCAGTTGGTGTGTCGGCGAAAAGAGACAGTAGCTGTGACTCTTCCTCGAACCTCACTCCACGGCGCCAGTCTGGTCGGATGTTAGCAGTACATTCAGGTCACGCGTGTAAATGATAGTACCACGTCCTAGGACCAACGTAGATAGTGCATTTGCCAGCAGGCTCTGACCGGATCGTATCATACAGCCCCAGCCAGTATCGGATGTAAATCCTTGCGTATCTACTAACTGGCTTCTTAGGCGTACCCCCAGTGTCATAGATGCACTCTTGTCGTCTCCCTCGACTCTGGGTATCGGGGGGAAATTGGACCTATATGTCATCCAGATTCTTGATTCAAAATCCAACAGGAACGACTCGGGCCACGCATGTTCTGATGGTTTCCGATAGTTGGTCGTTCCCGTCGCGTAATCTCGGGCGCTGTTCTTGTCGGCTGGCACCGGTATCAGTATGATTTGGAACAAATGCGTCTTCTAACAAGACACGAGTAATTATGTATTGCTTGGGCTTACGTGTCTCCCCCCTTGGGCTGACATCCTTCTCGGGGTGATACTCTGTTCCTAGGCACCATATCGAGGAAGTAGGATCTTCATCATTCCTGGGCTCTGGGTCCCAGAGATACTGTACGATGCGTTTGCTGCACCGTCCTATGTCGACTGTGTTCATGTCTGCTATCGTTCCAATACTCTAAGTTGCGCTTCCCTGGTCGCACAGACAGAGACGGTAGGGGTTGGTGTTGCAGTACGTCACTAGACAGGTCTGCACTATATATTATCCTCGGCCCGTTGGAGACGGGAAACCTAGACGGCGGGGCTCTGAGTGAGAGACATTAATAGTGCGACACACTCTCCAAAAGTAATATAATGACAGTTACCAGCGCGGCAGATCACAAGGTTGGTAGCGGCCAAAGAAGAACAGTTAACCACAAAAGGGAGCTTAGTGTGACCAGGAGGGGTCATACAGTATCTATGCATTTAGTTGTAGTCACGGGGCCAGCTAGGGCGGGAGTTGCTACTACAGCTGAAAAAGCTTAGAGAAGGCTATCTACCATAGGCCCTTACATATTCACACTAAAGTCTCAGTAAAAATCGAAAAGTATAGTAACCCTGACCAGTCTTGACATCGTAGTAGGAAAGATACTAGGCCTACTGTCTCTCAGTGAATCAAGGGCACCCAGACCCTCAATGATAAAGCTCGCCTGTGTACCCCACCGGGCACCTTCGCCGCCTGCCATCATTACATAAGTGAAGATATGAGACCGCAGATAACACTGCCAAGAGCGAGGGACTAGATTAAGCTTCGAGGCAGTAAAAGGTACCATCTCCAGTCGCTTATCCTCATCCGGTCGACGAAACACCCTTTTGCCTCCCAACCGACAAAAGGATTACAATCATATCCTAGGATAAGGCCAAAGTGGAAAGGCAGTAAGCCAAGCGGAAAGAAAAGGCCTGGAAGATGACGCGATCCAAGGCAAAAGTTCGGAACAAGAAGCAGAAATCAGTGGCAGATGATCTTCAAGGTACTGTATTATAGTTGTCACTACTTCACGTTACAGTCACATTACTGACTCTTCGAAGACCTCCGCAAAAATCATTTTACAATGCAGCAAGAAGCGCGCAACACTGAAGGACGCAGCCTATGGCGGACTGGTTCCTCACTACGCCACCAAACAGTCCGTTTTGTGAGCGCTCAGGACATTGACCGGGAGAGTGAAACGCAACCCTCCCCAAGCTCAATCGAGATAAGCGCACCGGAAGAGAGTCTGGAAACACGGACGACCCAGAATTGTGATCAAGCAACGGCTACGTTCCTGTCAGAACCCAGGCCGGGGACCGAGGACTCGCCCCTCTGTGTTGAGTTACTTGACGAATTCGAATCCACAGCGATATCGGATTCAATGAAACATATCTCCAAGAAGTCTCATGACGATTCGAGTGAAGATGAGGTTGTGTTTCGTGGCAGAAGACACCAATATGGGGAAGGCAGATCACACCCGTCGGATATCCGGACGCAGAAAGTTATTGCCGGTAGTCAGCAACCAAGAGCATCCGAGCACAGCAAATTGGATTTCCTTTCCTCAAATTCTGAGCCCAAATCATTGCTCGCTCCCAAGCCTCCACAGACAGAAACATGCCCACAAGAAATGGACGATAGCCCAAATTACTTCTCGCTTACCAGCGATAAGCGGCGGCGCAAAAAATGGAAAAGAGACGATGATGACATACTCGCCGACTACATAGATAATATTGACACCGAGTACTTGATACCGGGGATACTGGGCAGCTCTCCGCACTTTATTGAAGCTCGAGAGCCAGACAATGCCGACAAGGTGGTACCAACGTCCGCTACGGGCCTGAACTCCGCAGCTGAGAAGAATCTACAGCAAAGCGAGGCTTCCGCTCAACGCCATAATCCGACACTGAGCGATGAGCAAGAGTGCAGCGAAAATGAGGTTTCCGAGTGTAAGTGGAAATACTCAAACCTCTTGGTCGTTCCGCCTGTGGGCATTACTAACTGGGCAAAGACCACTGCAATCATTTGGACGAAGAAATCAGTCAAGAGGTATCCGGTAACCGAATTTCTCATACGGATAGCGCCTCGACCTCTTCGTCAGACGGTTCGGACACAGAGGACATAGAAGATGACAAATCTGAGGTAAGAAACCTAACCATTCCACTTCGCTAGACATCGACCCCTCGAGAATTGAACCACCCTGAAATATCATTACTGAATTCAAGCAGAACCTGCACGCGGATGGTAACAGCTTCTTTGCGTCTGCGACGGCTTTTGCTGATGCATTGGATTTTGATCCCTACTATGGATTCGATATCATGGACTTCAACCGACCAAGTGTGAAAAAGAAGTCTAAAGGAAAGGGCCGGTCCTTGGACATTAGTCTATCAGACAGTGAACTTGAGTCCGAGTTGGTAAATGCCTGGCAAAACGACAGAGCAAAGAAAAAGGCTAGAAAGCAAAAACGCGAAGAGCTGCGCTCCCAGGGCCTATTAGGCCGGGGCCGCCAAAACCCGTCCTTGAAAGACAAATATTCCAATGGAATAGGCACCGAGGACTTGAGAAGCGAGATTCGACATTTCCTCCTCTCACCAAGGAATAGGTACATATGTTCCCTTCTTCTCAGTGAATCAGACTGCTTCTGGTATATGATATCTGACGCTTTTTCTTTGCAGCTTGGCTTTGCCTCCCATGTCGAAGCAACACCGCAAACTGGTCCACGAGTTGGCCAATGTCTTGTCTATGAAATCGCAATCTCGAGGCAAGGGGTCCTCGAGGTTTCCCATCGTAAACAAGACCTCACGGACTCCTGCATATTCATCCAAAACAATATCTCAAATGGACCGTATATTATCAAATGGGCGTGGGCAACGCGGGCTCAAATCCCGCGACTCGAAGCCGAGCAAGCCTAGCAAGTCGCGCCGCGGGCGAACCGATGCAACTGTTTCCTACATGGATGGTGATGTCGTCGGAGGATCGGCACCTGAAATTGGTGCCGAGAATAAGGGCAGGGCTATGCTTGAGAAAATGGGATGGAGCATTGGCACTCCTCTTGGTTCTATGAATAACAAAGGTATTCTTCAACCTGTTGCACATATTGTGAAGAACTCGAGGGCTGGGTTAGGATAAGTAGCATGTGCAAGCGATAGTCAGAGCAACTTGGTACTCTCAGCTTTCTTTCCTCTCCATTTTTCTGTCTTCCTCAACCTACATGCTATGATTGGACGTCAACTGGTTTGTTAGAGAAATACTTGTAAATATACTATCCGATATAGTGGTATTGAATCTCTGATATGAAATATGTATATGATAAAAGGCCACGATTAGTGCCAGGTGTTGATATATAAGATCTTGGAAGGCGCAAATCTCCAAGGGAAACCAAAGTAGAATTTCTAAACCCTTTTCTTTCTATGCCGAGTGACCCCTTTCACCGGTGCGTGATCAGACTCTTTCAGATGTGAAAAAAGTTGGGTCCGTGAAGGAAAGGAAGCGCTGCATATTGTACACTGCGTGCCTAGGGACTGTCCTTTTGCCTGTTCCGCTTTTTTTAAGCGCTTTTGTTTAGCCTTGCCCAATTTCTGAACGGCTGGCTTGGAGGGGTCAAGCTCTAGATGCGTAAAATCTGAAGACAGACTAGCAGCCGCATCTGTCGTATCCTGCGTTGAATCACCGGTCAGTTGGAGTCGACCCTCGACAACCTCTCTTGATGCATAGTCAATTTCACTTTCTGAGTTTTGGTCGATATATCCCCGTAGGCTTTCGTGGGATACGCGTTGACCCTGGCTCTCACCGGCATTGTTTGGTGCTGGTATGTCACCTTCATTATCATCATTGCCAAGTGTGTTGCCTGACGTGGATCTGCATGGTGTGCTGTCGGCATTCGATACACGCATAGCTTGATCATCCGGGACAATTGTCATAGCAGCCTGAGCTTCATACTCTGATGAATCTCCGGCTAGTCCCAGCTGCTTGTTTTCATTCCTCATTTCTTTTTGAAGCTGCTTAATGGCTTTGACGTGCTTTTTGCTTCGCTCGTGTGCCTCAAACTGATTCAAACTCTTGAAGCTTTTGCGGCACACAACACATTCGAAGACTTCCAGTTCTGTCTCAGTACTACTCACTGTCTCGTCATCTTCAAATTCCTCCGACTTTGCCCAGTCTTGCGTGATATGGTCTCGCAGCTTAGCCTGATTCGCTGCCCTTGATTTCGCAGCTTGGGAGGCGGCAGATTGTCGTAGGAATTCCTGGCGCTGTGACTCACTTTGGGTGCTTGTTTTGTATCGCGGGTCGCGCTTTTTGACGAAAGCTACGAGTGATCGAACAGCATCGTTGAATTCACGGATGCCTTCCTCCCTCAGGCGCTTATTTTCCTTCTCCATCAGTCTACGAACACGACGATCGGGAGCTTCTGAGTAACGATAAACATCTTTCCATGCAAACGACTTTTTTGTTGAGAAGCCGCCCCATGCAACGTAGAATGGGCGTACAACTCGTTCGAAATCATCCCCCCGGCACCCAAACGTCGGATAAGAAATGATTTCCACATTCTCCCCACGGCAAGCGATCTCTTCTTCCGCGGCAAGTCGTGAGAAGACCTCACGAAGACCACCGTAGAAGCCATCCGAGGAGTCTGAAAATTCCATCTGTGGACTGAACCTAGAAAATATTCTATAGACATCGTCTGCAGTAGTCGTGCGCGAACTATGTGGACTGCCAGAGTTGCCAGAACTACCCTGGCTTCCTAGCAAGACATCTCGATGAGTATCGTACCACGAACGCTCCTGAGGGTCTGAAAGCACTTCGTAAGCAGACTGGACCTCTGCAAAAAGCTTTGTAGCAGATTCCACATTTCCATAGTTTCGGTCCGGGTGTAATTCAAGGGCTTTTCTTCTGTACGCCTTTTTGATTCTAAAGGGATTAAGGGGTGTTAGTGGCTTCAGGATACCTTCGCTGCTCATCCCACCAAGTCTCTCCTTCGAGGCCCGCATTCAATTCTCCTTCCCCATTCTGCGTGCTCTATCCACAAGAAACAACCCATGCGCAAGATTTAGAAAAACCGACAGGCAAGGCAAGCTTACTCCTCTGCAGATGCGTCCCAATTCACCTGTAAAAGTTCGTAATAATCAAGTTTCTTATCAGGTGATTCAGCCGAAGAGCTGGCGTTCTCTTCGCTTATCGAAGACTGAAATTGCCCCATGAGTCTGACTAAAAAGTCTTCCGTGGTGAGGAGGTGAAGAATGAATTTGGCGCAGGAGTGTCAAGATTTTTTATATAAGATGGGGTACAGAGCACTGGTACGGCAGAACTCCCCGCTCAGGATCGAGCTCGCTTGGCTCCGATTTGCACCCACCCAGATGGACACAGATGAGCGGCACAAACTTGTGATAGTCTAAGGGCAGCCTTTCTTTCGTCTCATTGTCGTCGTCTATTGCTGTGTCACATGTACCGGAATGGTTCCGTCTCTAGACTATTTCCCCGAAGAGTTACTACATCATATTCTTTGCTACTGCCCACCCCGTTCCGCTGCCGCATTAGAACAGACAGCTCGCCGATTTCGCGGGGTAACAACAAAGCCTTTATTATGGCGATATTATTGTCTGAGCCGTTTTAAGCACTGGGCCCGGCAACATGAGTTACCAGCGAAGCTTGCAAGCCCTATCTCTGCGGTAGATTGGAAATCGCTTTACATACTAAAGCATTTAGAATACCGCGCGACCTGTCGTCTTCTCGACAGCATCCTTGCAAATCAAACGGGAAGAATCGAGAAAATTCGAAAGATTATAGGGCTTGGCTATGATGCCAAAGATGCCCTTCTACATAATCTTGAGATTCAATCCAGTGTAGAAGATTACTTGGCAAGGAGGTTTGTTCTGTCTATCCATGAGACGGCATCTCGTTTTAACTATATTTCTTTGAAATAAGATATTATGCCGAGGCGCTCCTCACTTGCCTTCATCGAGGTCTCGCTGTACAAGAATGGGCTAAACTGAGAAATGGCGAGGAGGTGTCTCTATACAGGGCATTAGGTGCATTCGACCTTTTTAGACCCGAGAGCGATTTTGGCAGTTTGGAAGAGGTAAGTGACTCCAGGGCCTGAAGGGAAGTTGCTATCTAATACAATTTTAGATCAGCGATAAACTGGACTCGATTGCCTCGCTACTTCCTATCAGCTGTCCAGACATCCACCAGCTCACGTCTCGTAATAAAGCCAGGGCAGTTGCGAAGTTCCTGAGGGCAAATAATCTCACCGGAATTGGTGAAGAAAAAGAGTACCATTGCTTGGAGCACAACTTTCTTGGTATTGCTTTGAATGACCCTCGGCACAATTCACTTCCTCTGATTTCGGCAACTATTTATTGCTACGTTGCTGAACGGTTCGGCCTGAACGCCCGGCCATGCGGCTTCCCTTTCCATGTCCATGTGATTATCCTGCCGCCCATCGGCTATGATATGGACGATAATGTAATTGAAGACGGGACACGCGGCAGCCCAATTTATATGGATCCGTTCCGCTCAGAGAAGGAAACGCCAATCACGGATCTAGAGTATCAACTAAACTTCTTAGGTGTCACTGCGGTCGAGCGAGCGAACTTCTTGGCCGAATCCCACACTTCAGAAGTCGTCCTTCGGTGCAGCAAAAACATTCTGAACTCGGTCCAACGTATGTCTCGTTTTCCAGATATGCGCCTAACACCAGTGGATGTCGTTTGTGCGAAGTATGCTGCAATTTGGTCCTCTTTGTTGCTTTCGGATCTTGCTCAGCCTACTGACGTCAGACATAATCTGCTATGGCTAATGGAGCTTTTTGCTACGGAGTTCCCATCCGACATCCACTTGATTGAACAGTACGTGGCGCCTCTGCTTCATGGAACGCCCGAGTATGAGCATATACTGGAAAGTCTCCATGTGATGCGAGCGGCGGACGAAATTCCTAAACAAGTAAAGAGGCGCTCTTCTCAGCGGAGGGAAGTAAAATACCGCGTTGGACAGGTATTTAGACATCGCCGGTACGATTACCGAGCCATCATAACAGGTTGGGACACGGAGTGCGGCGCGGGTGAGCAATGGATGAGAAGGATGGGAATAGATCGCTTGCAAGGTGGTAGGCACCAGAGCTTCTATCATGTGCTGTAAGCTCCTTTACACGTATCGATCTTACATTTAGGGTAAAGCTAACTCCTGCTCCCAAGAGTTGAGGATAAGAGTGTTCGTTATGTGGCCGAGGAGAATATTGAGCTAATGAGTCCCGAGGTTTCAGAATTGCCCTCAACACTCGTGGCAGTGGCGGGAAAGCATTTCAAAAGATGGGATTGGGAAACGAGGACATTTGTCAGTAATATCAGGGACGAATATCCTGAAGACTGATAAAGAATAAGCTTTATTAATTTACTTACTCGCCCTGGCCATATTTCTTACAATTCTATGCAACCCGCAGGTGGAAGCGCTGGGATCCTATTTATTTAAAGCCATACAAATACTGTTGAATTCATAATATTAAATACTATATATCATCTATAATTCCTAAGAATCAGTATCAAAGCTATCCAAAGTGTTGTTTCTAGAATTTTTCCTAGTAATCATAGAATAATATTTCTTGGTAATATATTCCTGATTTTGTATTAGATCTTGAGAGTTTACAAATTTTATTTTATTCATGATTATTATAAGGATGAATATGATGAGATAATGTGAATAATACGTTTTTATTACAAAATAGACATGAAGACTATACTTCTGTAAATTATAATCAATAATTATTTTATTCACTGCCTGTAAATGATATATTACTTATAAATTATCTATTAATTCTATGATAAGATATCAAGTAAGATTCATAATAAAACCGATACCAGTATTTTAGATCCGCTCCTTTCTGAATCTTAGCTTCAGGTATCTGTTAGGTACTTCTTTATTTTTAAATCTACTGTGAGAGCCGTTCAAATGTGATCCATATGGTGTATCTAAACTAGAATATTAAACATAAGAAGAAAAATAAGAATATATAGAAAAATCAATATAAATTATGAATATAAGCAAAAAAGTTATGTAAGTAAACTAACTGGTGCTACTTGCATGATAACGAAGAACGAATGACAATGGTTTTCATATTCTTAACTAGTTGTCGAGCTATCTATGAGGAGCGAGGCGGTTGGCCTTCCTTAAGCAGTCGTTCTGCCGCAAGCGGCCGCCAACGGCGTGAGGTGCGCCCAAGTTCGTTGGTGCCTGCACCAACACTAACTAAATAAACTCATTTTCATTATTCATAGTTTTTTTTCTTGGCTTTTCTCTTA